CCAGGCTCCAGGGCTGTACCGGGCTCCAGGGCTGTGCCAGGTTCAAGGACTGTGCCAGGCTCCAGGGCTGTGCCGGGCTCCAGGGCTGTACCAGGCTCCAGGGCTGTGCTGGGCTCCAGGGCTGTGCCAGGTTCAAGGACTGTGCCATGCTCCATGGTTGTGCCATGAAGCAAGGACAGCAGGTCCCCCTGAGCACTCCTTTCCTGCTCACCGGGTGATGGGTAAAAACTCAGTGGAGTTGGCAGAAAGAATCCCAGTTCAGTGTGGGAGCCTTTAAATAGACCATTTGTGACTAAATGACATTTTTCATTTTAATGGGGCAATTGCAATTCAGCTGTTTTCTGCTCAGGGATGATCCCATGGGTTTTCATCGTGTCTCACACTCTGGTGCTTCCTTAAATGAGCATCAATTCTCCTTCCTACCTAGGACCAGGCTTTACCTCCACCTGAGCTGAAAATCAGAAGACAGCAGGACCTCACCTGGACAAAAACTTGAGTTCAGGACAACTTTGACCGGCTCTAGACCAGCAGCTCAGGCTGAGCTTCTCCAGGCCACATCACAACAGTGACAGTCACCCACACTAAATCTAGACATGGACTCATCTTTAGCCTCTTTACAGCTCTCCTTGGTGCCTTTCTGCCTTACCATGTCCTTTCTGAAGGGGGCAGGGGCTGGTCCAAGAGCACAGACAGGCTGTGGGTGGCTCAGCTGCAGCTCCTCTATGCACATCGAGAGTTACAGACTCAGAGGGACTCAGCTTTTCAACATCTCCCGCTGAAAGTGGAGATCTCAGAGATTACCAGACATGCAGGCCCCTCACCTAATCACCGAGGGCTTTACCTGTGTTATTGAACCCAGGTGGAGTTTAAGTAGCATCTCAGAGGCCACTTGAAACCAGGCAGCTCAGTCTGAGAGTAAAACTATCAGCAATCATGCAGGGAAAGAACCTAAACGCCATCCTAAAAACACAAAGGGTGCCTTGACTTCTGACCTTCCTCCTCCCTAAAGAGATGAACGGTCCAGGACAGAGGGCAGTGGAAGGCAACAAATCCTCACCCTCTGCTACCACCAGAAGGAAGGGACAAAAGAAAGAACCCTGCCAGGGTCAGGGCTCCCTGCCTTCACCTCTGACAGCCCTGAGGGTGGCAGGAGCAAGGCTAGCTGTCACCATTTCAGAGGGAATAAATCCAAACATCCTGTGAGACCAGTGAGATCTCTGTTCCTACAAAATTTTCCATCTCTTTCTGAGCTATTTGCTCCTAGCAGAGCCCACACCCTCCCAGTACTGTCCCTACAGCTCTGTAAAGAGGACATTTCTTCACCTGTAGGGCCTCAGAGACACAAACCTGCACGTGAGGAAGAGGAGGACACCCCAGTTTTGCTACAGCCAGCCTCCAACCTATGCTAACAGTGCAGTGCAGTGGCTGCAACAAGGCAAACTCCTCTTCCAGGCACCAGGACAGCTCTGAGAGCCCAAACAAACCTCCCAAGCTGGGAGGGGGTGCTGGGACCTCCCATCCCATCACCGTGTTCAGGATCACCATCCACGTCAGACACTATCGACACGTTCAGACAAGAAGGTGGCAGCGGCCTTGGCTGTGTTTTGGGGCAATTCTAGGATTGTTTGGGGGGGATTGGGGGAAATCAGAGGTGCCTAAGCCAAGTTTGGGGTGATTCCAGCAGCGGTTTTGGGGGTGATTTTGGGGGTGCCAAAGCAAATATAGGGAGATTTTGAGGGGTTTTTTTTGGCATTTCTTGGGTGATTTTGGGTGATGTTGTGGGCTTCTGGGAGTCCCGAGGACAATATTGAGGTGAATTTAAGGGAAATTTTAGGGGAAATTTTAGGGGCAATTTTGGGGCCCATTTTGGGGCTTTTGGGGTGCCAAAACTGATTTTCAGGTGATTTTCGGGCAGATTTTGAGGGCAATTTTGGGGGTGATGAAGCAAATTTTTTGGGTGATTTTGGGGGTTTCCTGTGGCAATTCTTGGGCAATTTCACAAAATTTTGTGAGTGACTTTAGGGGTGCAGAAGCCAATTTTGGATTGAATTCCAGTGATTTTGGGGGAGTTTTGAGGCAATTCTTAGATGATTTTCAGGGCATTTTGGGGAAGATTTTGAGGGTTTTTGGAAGTGTCGAAGTCAATTTTGGAGTGATTTTAGAGGCAATTCTAAGGGCTATTTTAGGAATGCCAAAGCCTGATTTAGGGTGATTTTGTGGATTTTTTGAGAGCCTGCAGTGCTGAAAATTTCCCTTCACATGGGCTGGGGCTTTTTTTTTATTTTCAAGGAAAAATGCAGACCAGCAAAGAACAAACAGAACCCTACAGTGAGGAGATGCCAGTCCCCAAGGGAGAGCAAGACATCCTCACTGGAGAGATTCTACTGCATAACAGCCCTAATTAAACTGTCAGCAGAGATGCCCTTCCCCTGCTCAGCGCTCCTGGAACACGATCAGTGATCTCTGGAGGCAGATAGGAAGGGCCACAGATCCCACTGACATGTTCTGGCACAGCTCTGTGGTGTTCAGCAGAGCTACAGCAGCAAGCACAGCCTGACCCCAGACTGCTCCACAGCAAGCAGAGGAAGCTCCAATATCCATAAAGAATGTCCTCCTGTGTTCCCCTGCCCCAGCACCTCACTGATGGGCACTGACAATTCCCTGCCAGACCCTCCTACACCTCCTCTGCTCCAGAAGTGCTGAGGCCAAAGCAGGAAAAGCCATCACACCCCTGCAAAACAACACTCAGGAGCTCCTCAGGATGAGGGTTTACTTACACAGAGCCCAGACACATTCCCCAGGACAGTGCAGAGATCAGGACAGACACCCTGGCTTGGGGCACCTGCAGGGGCCAGGCAGAGCTGTCCCATTTGCCCGTGGGATGCTCCTCCAGCTGCTGCCTGTGGGGATCTGGAAACAGGGAGCACAATTCCCACTGCCCACCTCAGCCCTAACCCTTGGCTGCTCTCCTGCTGCTCTCAGGGGCTCAGAAGGTGATCCACAGAGCAATGTAATTTTATTTTCTGCCCCTGGAAGTGCCCCTGCCTGTGCTAAGGGCCAGCAGAGATGAGCTCCCTGTTGTGCCTGTTGCACTTGAGGTACATTAATACCTATTTTTCTGAGCCAGAAGCAAGGTTACAGTATGTCCTGGGTGTGAACCCAGTGGTATCCAGTTGGGTTTCAAGGGCTGAATGGGGACAGAGTTCACCATCTCCAGGTCAGGATCCATCTCAACCTCCCCAGCAGCTCAGCAGCAATTCCTGCAGGAGTTTTTGGGCTGGTGTCACTCTGCTTTTGGCACTGGTTGTCCCTCTCCTCTTCACTCCAGCCCATCCCTGCAGTGAGCAGTCCCTGAGGACCATTCCCAGCCCCAGTGATGAGAAGGATGAGTTCAGAGCGTGCCCTGAGCAGCTCTATTTCCTTTTTTCTGCTTCCTTCCTGCATGGAATTACTCATTTCCTTGGCAGGAAAAATCATTACAGAAGGTGCTTTTCTGAGTTCAGCTGAGGTTATCTGCTCACTGACAGGGGTTACAAGGCACCCGTGGAGCTTCCTCTCCCCAGTGGGCTGTTCTCCTGTGCCACAGCTTGGAATAGGAAGAATAAAGACTGGTTGTTTGACACACCTTGTTATCCCTTTTTTTAAAAAAACCCCTTTGCTACAAGCATTAAAGCCCTGGGAAGGCAGAGACAGCCCCTCCACAGAACAAAAGGCAAGCAGCTGTGGGAGACATCTTCCTGTCTCGGAGGTCAATCCCAACCCTGCCTGCCTCCACAACGGAGCTGGCTCTGATTCCCCTGATGGCAGGGTATATCAGATCCCAAAATACTCTGCTGGTTCTCCTGCCTATCACTTAAATCCAAAGCTGCTTTTCTACAGGGAAGGTGGAGAGCACCTCCAAGGTCTAAATCAGAAAAGAATCAGGCACCAAGGCAGGGAATTGATCCCACTGCACGAGGAGTGTGCGAGGCTCTGCACGAGGCGCTATTTGGTTCTACACATAAGTTTGGTTCAGTTCAAGAGGTTTTTCCTTGTTCTCAACACCTCAGAAGCAATTTTCAGTTAAATGTTTCCCCAGCTGGATGTAGCTGCAGGGTTTAGGGGAAGGAGCTGGGAGTGACACAGCAGCTGCCTCCTGTGTCAGGCAGAGAATCTGGAGAGAAATAGGGAATGTGGGGCCCACAGGGATAAAGCTGCCTCTGTCTTCTGCAACAACAGCATAAAATCACCTTATAGGCTGATATTTGCACATCCCCATCATGTGCAAACCTGAATACATCTCGCAGCTTCCCCCACAGCTGGGGAGGATACGCTTCCGTGCCTGTCTGGCAGGGAATTGAAGAGAGCAGGAATCCAGCCACAGAATCCCAAAGCCTCAAGGTCTGTGTCTCCACTCCAGCCCTGAGCAGTGGCACCCCTTCCCCTGTGGCTGTGTCCCCTCCTCCAGGGGGACACTGCAGAATCACCTCCCTGAGCCCAGCTCACCCTCTGCATACGGGAGGGAGCAGGCAAAGGGTGGGTGCAGAGATCCCAAACTTCTCACAGGGGCAGCTCAAACAGTCTTAAAATAACAAACCCAGCCCCTGACAAACCTTCTCAAAGGAGCTTCCAGAGCTTCTGCCAGTGGCACCATTGAAACATCAAATTTGCCTTGATTTTAAACATTTAGTAGCGTTTGGCAAGTGGATGAATGGCTGGGACCCTGAATGTAGAAGTTCTCCAGAAATGGAAAGCACCTCACAATGCTTCCCAGGAAGCCAGAGCACCATCCTTCTGATGCAAGGAAATAATCATCATAATAATAGTAGTAATAATAATACTAATACTACTAATAATAGTAGTGTAGTAGTAGTAGTACCACCAGGAAAAAAAGACAGTTATTTTTAAGCACATTTTTAAAGACTTTTAAAGACATTTTAAGAGCATTTTCTGCAGGCAAAGAATTTAAAATGAACCAAAACCAAAACCAAGGAAGTTGAGCCGAGTAGAGCAACACTTACTGTGCAGGCAGCCAGCATCCCCTGCAAGCTGGGACCATCCTGGGCAGCACCTGTATGTGGTCTGGGACCTCACCTGGTACACCTGCCTGTAGCCTGTGTAATACACAACCCTGAAACACAAAAACCCAGCCAAAGTCAGCTCCTGCAGGACAGCGAGACTGTGAAGGACAGAATTTGTAGCTGTGGGTGCAAATAAAATGAGGAATCAGGTTTGCAAACGTGCTGCCTTGTTTTACACAGCCTGGCAGTGCTCACTGATGCTAAGAAAATACTCCTAATTTATTCTAATTAGGAACACAAGAGACAATACCCAGGTCTTCATAACTTCATAACCCCAGATTATTTTTTTCTCCTTTTCTAGACTACTTACAGCTCTAAGCTCCTCCTTTACACTACTTGCTCACAAAATAAATGTATATTTTAAGAACATGTATTTCTGCTTTAGTGAGCAGGAGCAGGTATCTCCAGGGGGCTGGTGAACTAAAAAATCGACAAAGTCCTGATGACAACACCAAGCTACTCCAGGAATCATGTTGGACACAGCAAGGCTCCACAGCTTGGCAGGGAACACTGAGGGTCCCTTTAACTACTCCCAGTAGTTCCCTCCAGAGTGGGAGCTGGGGGGGCAAAGCAGGGACTGATTTGAAGCGTAAATAAATAAAAGCGACACATTTTTACCCCGGAAATTTGGTGTTGTGTGTTTGTGAGAATTGAGACACAGATAATACTTCTGAAGCCGATTTTTAAAAAGCTCCATTGGCAGAACATGAAACTGCTCCACCAAAGCAAATCAGGCAAACAACAACAAATATTTGGCACAGCAGATGTGTTGTGCATGTCCACTGAAAATATTTATCCTAACTCAGTCAACTTGTTTGATTTTGTCTGAATGTTCCTACAAAAAAAAAACCCAAATAATTGAACTGTTAATCCCCGGGAAGGAAACCTTCGGACTCCTGCGTGCCAACCAGCACATGGAAGCACAGCTGAGAGAAATAAAAGCAGATACCAATTTTTTTTTTTTTTGTATGAGCTGTTAACAAATTATGAAGGAAATTGTTGTATTGCAGAAGCAGCTGAGAAAGCAATTCACAGGCACGAGCTCCAGCCCACCAGGATCCTCCTGGCACCAGGAGCTCTCTCCAGCCCAGCAGGAAGGAGAAGGGGAGATGGTGGATGCAGGGTGGTGTGAACGTGACAAGGAGGCTCAGGGATGGGGAGGAAAAGCTCGAAACAGTGATGTAGGACAGCTCAGGGCTCCTGGTGCCCCAGCAGTGCCCCAAGCAGCCTCAGTCCCACCCTCCTGGGCGGCTCCAGACCCTTCAGCCACTCCAGGCAGGTCTCAAGGACAGGCAAATATTGTGACAGCCTCGGTGCCTCTGGGTATCTGGGTGCTGCAGACGGGAAAGAGCCACACAAGAGATACTTTATCTTCAGTGTTTCTCTTTTCTTTTGTGTTTTAAGGAGTCCCTGGCAAAGAAAACGGGGAATGAGCCAGAACTAATGGAACCCAGGGAATCCTGCTGTGTCCTGCTGCTGGAAAATCTCCTTCCAGCCCTTCTGGGATAGCATTGTGATTCTTTCAAGCTTGGTTATGGAGGGCTGAGCAAAGCTACCTGCTGTCATTACTCACTGGGAAGCTGCACAAACCCATCCCTTCACCAGGAACACAGAGCAGAGCAGCCCAAGGATGCTCCAGCTGAGCAGATGCTGCTTTTCCCAGTCACCTCCAGGAACTCAAAGGCACTGAGGCCAATTTCAGGCTAGATCCTGGAGCTGTGAATACACTTCCTAAGCCTCACGCTGCCAGAGCCAGGTCCAACTGGAGCAGCTCCAGCATCCCTGCGAGTGCCGACACCGCGCTCCACCGCCTCGGCTGCCCAGCACAAGGGAGCTTGGCAGAACAGCTCCCAGCTCTTGGAAAAGCTTCCTGCAATGGGAACTCCCAAAAGTCTAGAGAGAAGGGATGTGGGACAAAACCTTGCCCAAGGAATGTTCTGCTGATTGTCTTTCCCCTGTCTGAATTTCACAACTCCTGGGGTGAAATCCCTCAGTGACTTCCCCTCTGTGCTTCCGTCAGGAGCAGTTTTAGCACTGGGCTGTTCTGATATTTGCAATGAAGCAGAACAAAAAGTTATTTTACTTCAGTCTCTTGATTTGTGACATCAAACTACCCTTTAAAGAGCTGAAGGGACCGCTGGGGCTGAAGAGCTCTCGGCCTTTGAAGTGGAAGCAGACAATGCACCCATCCTTTTAAAGCCATCCCTGAAAACACAGCCAGGAGTCAGACCTTTTGGTCCTTTGTTACCAGGACACAGATCTCATCACCAGGGTAATTACTGGCAATTACAGGTTAGGAGGAATTCCTAAAGTCAGGACTTAAAAGCTGTCTTGAGTCCAAGATGTTTCTTTGAAATGACAACTATCATTTTTATTCTGCAAAGGCTTGTAACTCCCTAATGAGGCCGGAAAAGCAGGTGGAAGCAGCTTGGGCACGTTGTAGTTTGGCTGCTGGGTAGGTAAGAAAAGTTCATTTTTTGTGCTGTTCCACGTGTTCAGAGCCCTCCTGCCCGGGCTCCCATCCCTGGCCAGCTGGGAGCTCCAGGGATGCTATGATTAGGTGGAGAAGCACTCAGGCTATGCTCCAACTCCGTGCTCACCTGTGCAAGCCCAGCTCTCTTCTGGCCTGAGCATGATCCAGCTCATGGAGTGAGAGGAAGGTTGTGGCTCTGCAGCAAATCCTGTTGAGCACCACCCCAGCAGTCCCTGCCCTCACGGGTGGTCCTGCACCACCCCATCCCCTGCACCATGGCCACATTTACTGTTAATTTAGCCAATAACCCTCACTTGGCCCCAGCTCCTGCCATCAGCTCTGTCAGCCAAGAGGCACTGAAGGGCTTTGAGGAGGAGACATCTAGAGATGCAGGAATAGTGCACATGATGAGAATAAGTCGTTCCATTAACATGGCTGGATCATAGGAAACAGATGACATACATTTTCTGAAGACGGGAAACAGCCACCACGAGGACAAAGCTTCTTCACAATGGTGAAAACAACAGATAGGACTTCTCTTTGGAAATTCCTTCCAAGCTTAGAAACTCTGAGCGTCACAAAAATGCCAGGTTGAACCAGAAGCCTGTCCACCCAGCTTTTGTGGTCTCCTGCTTTTAGCCAAGAAAAATATCCTGTGAGATAGCTCTATTCCTTACTGGCAGTTTGTGGGGTCAGGGCCACATCTCTGCTCATGGGACTGTTAGTATCAACCTGTAAAAGAACTGCTCTGTCCCCTAACAACAAAATCATGGGATCATAGAATCACAGAGTCACAGAATCACAGAATAGTTTGTGTTGGAAGGGACTTTAAACATCATCTAGTTTCAATCTTCTGCCATGGGCGAGGACACCTCCCACCAGCCAGGTAAACGCCAGGCACCAAGGGTTTCCTCCAAGGCATTTCCTCCTCTTTCCCTTGGGAGCTGTGGGGCATCCAGGTGAGCCCCAGCCACACTGTCTCCTCACTGAGACTCTTTGGAGGGCACCAAGGCACTCCCCTGGCTGTTTTCCATTCCAGAACACAGGCAGGGGAGCAGGATGGGTGCACAGCAGCTGTGCCCATCCCTCACCAGCTGCGCAGCCGCTGCTGGTGAGCACCAAATTCACTTCCCTGCTGCTGCTGAGCAGTGGGAATCACTTTTCCTCCTACAAGGAGCAGCCCAAGGTGGAGGGAAGAGCACCTACCTCCGCTCGTAGCCCGTGCACCAGCGGCGGCCCCCACAGTCCTGCTTCCACACCTTGGCAGCGCGGGTCAGCGCCTGCACACACGGCTGCCGCAGCCCCACGACCCCCAGCTCCTGCTCTGCACACACGTTCGGCCTGGGACAGAGAAAGGCAGGGATGTGAGGGATGCAGGGGATCCAGAGGGTCGCAGCTGTGAGGGATGCAGCGCTCCCACTGCCTGATTTTCCTGCTGACAGGGCAGGAAGAGCTTGGGGAACCTCCCCTACATCCACCTCCTCAATGAGTTCAATCACTGCAGGGAAAAGAAACGGTGCCAGGCCGACCAGCCACAGGGGTGGTTTCTTGCTCATTCAAAGCTAAGGGCTGCAAGGCTAATTCCAATAAATCAAAGTAATGTATTTTGTTTCTTCTCTAATCCTAACTCCTTCTCCAAGCACAAGTCAGTGGGTTTAACTAAGGATGAAGAGGGAGACATTTGTCCCTGACTTCACAAGCTACTTGGTAATTGGGGCTGCTTCTGCTGCTTCCAAGGGGACACAGAGTTTTTACAGAAATACTTTCTATAAAAGAAGTGAAAGTTACTAATTTGGATGTGGTGAAGCTTAGAGGTCGCAGCTGGCATCCAACTGCTCCAGGCAGCTCAATTCCAACCCCAGAGTGCTGGCACAGGGCTCTGCTCCAGTGCCTCGTCCAAGAAGTCCTGAAAGTAGCTGTCAGGGCAGGAGCACAAAACTCTGAGGTGGGGAGAAAAAGCTGCTTCTTCCAAAACCTTTAGCTTCTAAAGGACACCCTTTTTTTTAAGAACTGAACCCCTCGGGAAGGGCGGCTTGGAGTCTGCACCCCACACCACACCAGCTCCATGGACAAAGGGAATTACAGTGATCCCCTGGCTCTGAGAGACCATCTTCTGGCAGGAGGCCAAATTTTCAAGGAAGTTTTCCAGAGCAGCCAAATGATTAACACCAAACTGTAACTGTAAAATGTAATTAAAAAGAGCAGCCTACGTGCTGCTGGAGTAACAGCAGCGGGAGGGGAGGAACGTGGAATAAGAAAGACTCGTGAAGTGAAATAAAAGCAGCAGGTCTTGGAAGAAAGGGCAAAGTATTCACACAGGAATCATTTCTTGCACTCAGACAACAGTTTCAGCTAAACTAAGGAGTTCCCTCCTACAAGAAAAGACTATATAGGTTTTCAATTTTCTCTTCCCCTTTCTGCACATCTAGTAGAAAATAAAGAAACCCACAACAGCTTCCTCCCACTACCCCCTCACTCTCTGCTCCTCACTTCACCCTTGATTTGAAAACACTGCATTTGGCTCCTGCTTTTGCATTCCCTGCCTGACAAAACCCCTCCGGAACTCTTTCTTCCTACTCACATGTGGGGCTGCAGTTTGCTCCCAGCAGCCAGCGGAGACATTCGCAGCGCCACGATGAGTGACAGTGCCACGGCAGGAAACTCCATCGCTGCTCCTCTCCCTCCAGGTGCTTCCAGCGGTTATCCCGGGAATCCCAGCGCCTCCTCCAGCACAGCTCGCCGGTTCCTCCTCTCCACAGGCTCCTGCCGCCTCCTGCTCCCAACTTGCCGGTGTCTCTCCTTGCAAAGGACAAAGCTACCGGGGCACAGAGGAGTCCTCGCAGGGGGAGAGCGGATTTATTCCTGGATGCTTCCTCCCTCTCGGGTTCCACTCAGCGAGTTTCTCCACTCCATTGCAAGTTACAGTGCAGGTTGCAGCTGGGATTTTCCCCAAACCAAACCTGGCTGCTCATGCTGGTTTGCGGGCAGTGAAATGCACTGAAGTGACTTTTCCTTCTGGGATTTGCTTCCTGACAAAGCTCGAGGACCTGGGTGCTCACAAGACCTGGGTTGTGCCCAGCAGTGCAGCCCCATGTGGGCTGAGCTTCTCCGGAGCTGCCATCCCCTTCCCAAGGCACTTGGAAATCCAGCCCCTGGCAAGGGGAAGGAAAAAGGAGAGGTGCTCTTCTGGCAGGAGAACCTCACCTCCCAGGGGCTCTTCCTGAAGCAGGCAGGGTGATCCTTCACTCCATCCACAGAGGTGCAGGCGTCCTCCTGCCGCAGCTCCGCGCCTTCCTCCGGAGCCGGGAGCGAGGAACTCCGCACCGCAGCCGCTTCCCTGCGGTTCGGGGCAGTACCAAAACTTCCCCCTGCCTTTCCCAGGTCCAGCTCCTTTCCCTCACATGCTCTCTTGCCTCTTTCCTCGCTGTCAGTCAGAAATCCCTCCCACGAGCTGTGCCCAGCCCCGAGCAGAGGAGGGGGAGGCCCTGCTCGCAGGGATGGAGCAGCGGTGCTTCAGAGCTGTTTCTCCACAGGCAGCTCTTCTGCACTACCCAAGGCCAGCTGCGGACACACCACCCCAAATCCCTTTCCCAAAAGCTCGAAAAACATCCCACAGAGATTCAATCTTCCCCCGTGCACTCCAACAGATAACAAAACTGATCGCTTCCCAAGGAAATTCTGCTGGCAGGGACACCTCCAACTGCACGCAGCAGCCGGCACAGTGGGATGGGGAGGAGGAGGAGAGCAGAGCAGAGCAGAGCAGAGCAGAGCAGAGCAGGGATGCTGCACTAAAAAGCTCAAGCACCTGCCAGCAAACCTTCCCCAAGGGCCAGGAGGAACAAGAGCAGCAGCTGGGCACCTCTGAGCTGCCCCAGGGCACTCCAGGGCTCACTTGGACTGGGGCAGGTGCTGACTTCCATCAGAGAAGCAGGATACGAAGGCTTGGAGGAAGGTTGGGATAGTTTCAGGGACATGTTTTGTGGCTGAAGGACAACCATTAATCAAGACTAAAATCCCCAAGGGCCATGCCCAAAAGCTGCTGGCTCTTGGAAAAAGCTGAAGCAGCTGCTCCTTGCACCAGAACCCTCCCAAGGTCACAGAAGTGCCATAAATCCTCAAGGAAGAGAAAAGAGCAGGTGAGGGGTGTTAATGCTTCCACTTAGCAGTAAAATATCAGCCAAGCCTAACGGATGGGAAGAAAACATCATTCTTCCTCGAGAAAAAAGGCAGCTACACAAAGATGTTTTATAACAACAGAGAGAGCTCCAGGATACAATAAATCCAGGCTTCTCTTTTTCTCTCTGGGATTAAAACGTTTTTTACAGTAGGAAACAGGCTGCTCCCAGTTAGACTTCCAGGGATTCCTCCCAAAGGGCAGGGACCGGGCAGAGCCGGGAGTCGGGCTCCCTCTCCAGGACACGGCTCGAGGCCAAGGATAGGGATTGATCGGTCCAGCCACAGCTCCCACGCTGTCCCAGGTGACAATCCTGGCTGTCACACAGGCAGGACACAACTCACTGCAGGGTCCTGGCTGGCCTGGCATGGCCACTGTCCCAGCCACAGCCACCCCGGCCAGGCTGCCTGCAGGGAGAAGGGGAAGGTCCAATGGGAAAAGCTGCGCTTTGAGGAGTGACCCAGCACAAAGTCAATTCTGCAGTCCTTTTAAAGTCCCTTTAGAAACAGCAGTGAGGTTTCCCACCTAAAGAGGCCCATGTGAGCAAGGGCTGTGGAGAGAACAGCAGGGAACTCATGGGATACATGTGAAAGACAGATATCTGAAAGCCTACCCTGTCTGTGAAGTCAATTGAGTATGTTTTCAATTTTATATAATTTCCCAGCACAGCCGCCTGCCGAGGATGTCATCCTCTGGCTCCGGGTAAAACAGCCCTGAAAGTGGTCCAAGATATGATACAGTTCCATAAATACTGATGATAATATCTGAAATCATGCCACAGACCACAGAAACTGAAACATTAACATGCCATTCATTCCCCAGCATTATTTAATCTTTGCTATCAAGAGTGCTGGATGTGATATGGGCGCCAGGGCTCTCCATGCACAATCCTGTCCCTATCTCACACTGCTCTGGTACCTTCCTGAGCTCTGTCCAGATGATTTTTAAGGATCTTGCATATCTGACCCAGATCTGCTTCACAGCAGCTCTGCCTAGCCCCTGCAGACACACAAATCTTGTTCCTTTGTGGATACATGAGTCTTGCCCGGACCACCTGGGCAGAGCAGAGCATCGTTTTGGCTGAGCTCAGAGCCTCCTACTGTTCATTCTGTGATGCGTGTGGGTTGTCTTCACCCTGAAAATCAGCAGAGCTGAGACAGGCCTCGTACACCTCTGGGTGTACAACCGTGGTGGCACCTGGGACCTCATACAGCCCCAGGTGTGTGACAGCATCGACACCTGGTACCTGATACAGCTCTGGGCGGGGGACAGTGACAGCACCCAGCACCCGGTACAGCCCCAGGTTTGTGATGGTGACAATACCCAGTACCTGGTGCAGCCCCAGTGTGTGACAGTGATGGCATCTGGTACCTAACACAGCTCTGAGCAGGCAACAGTGACAGCACCCACCACCTGGCATAGCTCTGCTGTGTGATGGTGGCAATACCTGACACAGGTACAAGCCAGCTGTCCGATGGTCACAGCACCTGACAGACCCCTGGCCATGTGACAGTGATGGTACCTGGTACCTAATCAGCTCTGAGCAAGCGGTAATGAAAAACAAATGAAAAGCAGCCACCACTTTGTACAGCCCCAGGTGTGCGATGGTGACGGTCCCAGCAGCCGCCGGTGGGTGACGATGACAACACGCGCCAGGCAGGCCCGGCGGAGCGGGGAGCGCTGCCGTGCCCCGCATCCCTGCCCGGGAAGCGGCCGAGCATCCCGGCCGGGGCTGCAGTGCCGCCTCCCGGCCCGGCGCGGAGCGAGAGGCGGCTCCGGGCGCTCCGCCCGCCCCGCTCCGCCCCGGAAGGCTCCGAGCGCCCGCCCGGCGCCGCCGCGATGCTGCAGCTGCGGGACGCGGACGAGTCCGGCCCGGCCGGCGGCCCCGGCAGCCCCGGCAACCCCGGGGCCGCCACGCTGGTACCGGGTGGGGCCGGGCCGCCCTTCCAGCCGGCCGCGCCGCCGGCCCGGCAGACGCTGCGGCCGCTGAGTGTCCGCACCGCGGGCCGCGCCGGCCGCCTGCGCCAGTACTTCGTGTTCCGGGTGCGCGCCGGGAGGGGCGCGGGGGCAGCCGCGGCACCGGCCCGCACGCCCTGACCTCTGCCTTCTCCCCCCACAGCCCGGCACCATCGAGCAGGCGGTGAGCGAGATCCGCGTGGTCGTGCTGCCCGCCGAGGACGGGGAGGTGCAGAGCGTGTGGCTGCTCACCGAGTGAGTTCCGCGGCGGGATGGCACGGGCGCTCCGGGCGGGGGTGATGAGCGCCAGCGCAGCCTCGGCCCCGCGGGCATGCTCCAGAGCCTCACGTCCCACATCAGCGTTTCTCTGTATTAAACCTGGTGAATATTAATGCGCGCACAAGGCCCGGAATGGCCCGGGGTGGCTGCAGCCATCATTATTTCATCATTTCTTTATAAGCCAGCTCTCCAGATCCAGACCAACGCTCCCCAGTTAACCCCTTATAAAACCCAGTCCCACAGAGAACCCACTCTTGCAGTAAAGTGCGGGTGTAGCTTTAACAAACTAACCCAAAGCACAGACCCTCAGCCCTTCACTGGCCCTGCTGATGCAAAGCAGAAGCTGTAACAGAAAATACAGCATCAAATTTGTTCTCCTCAGCAACTCTGCTGTCTGCCAAGCTCTTCAGTGTTTCTAGCCAGGAGTCAAAACCACTTAAAGCTCAGTCGTGTTCTCTCCCCAGAATCGATCACTGGAATAACGAGAAGGAGCGGCTTGTCCTCATCACGGACTGGTCCCTCCTGGTCTGCAAGTACAACTTCATCAGCCTGCAGTGCCAGCATGTGACCAGGATTGCCCTCAGTGCCGTGGACACCATCTCCGTGGGGGAGTTTGAGTTCCCACCCAAATCTCTGAACAAGTAAGCAGCCCCAGTCACATGTAAGTCTTGCACAGTTATTTGGAACAGATTGAGCTGTCAGCTTGGCCCCTGGAATGAGAATTCTTGTTTTGCTTGCTTAACTGTGCAAACAATTCCAGAAGCTTTACTGGAAGACCTCAGGGTAGCTGCTGGTTTGCTGGGGTGGTGAGTAGCTGCACTAACAGCAAGTTGCTCAAGGACTTTCAAGATAAGATGAGTAGATTTGGGAGCAGAAACTCATCACCGATACATAATACAGTAAGTAGCAGTAACACCACCTTAGCGTGAGTAGAAAGCTGTGAGTCCTGTACACAGGGGCTGTCACAGGCTGTGAAGGATGGCCATGGTGTCCCAGGTGCTTCCCTTTCTTGCTCTCAGCTCATAAGGATGTCCCTTTGCACATTTCAGGGGCTGATTACTGCATTTCTTGCCTACAGTAAAATTTACCATCACTTGTATTTTGAGATAGCTTCTAGTTTCACGTAGGTCTTTTCCAGACAGAACATTTTTAGTTAACCTTGCTCCAAGACTGGGAAATTTTACCCTGTTCATTCTGCACTATCAGGAGGGAAGGTGTCGGTATCCGCATCCAGTGGGACAAGCAAAGCCGTGCCTCCTTCATCAACAGGTGGAACCCCTGGTCCACCAACATCCCCTACGTGACCTTCACCGAGCACCCCATGGCAGACGCAGACGAGAAGATCTCATCCCTGTGCCGGGTAAGGAACAGCCTCTGCTGCTCCAGGCAGCTCACTGAGCTCATAGGGTGGACATAATTTGCTTTATTTTAAAGCAATGCATAAGTTAATCTAACAAAATTGGTTACATCAAGGTAGAATTTAGAGCTGGGAGCTCCATCTTCCCAGTCTCCAAATTTTGACTTGCAGGGTGACCCCACTGCCCACTTTTGCCAGCCACCCATAACAGGCTGAAATACAGAGGAAGCCAAAATTTCTGAAGGTGCAGAGTCCTGTAAAACCAAAAAGCAAACAGATCTTAGGCTGCTTCTGCTTTTACTTACCTGTCTGATGATGGACTTTCCATCTAGGACTGCCAGCTAATTAACAGATGGTTTAATTGCTCACTGAAAACCTTCATCAAGATGGTTCTCAGTTCTTTTTGTAATAGGTGCTTCCCTCTGAAGGTCTGCCTAAAATTAGAACACTATTAAGCGTAACACATCAGTGATCAGAGCAGAACCACAGTCAGAAATAAACACCTGGTCACCGATGAATCTTTACCCTGTTTAAGTCACACATCAGCAGTGTCCTGTGTGAAATTAACAGAATCATTGAGGTTAAATATCGGACTGTGACTATCACAGCCCATAGAGCCCTGACAGCTACAGCTTTAATGCTAACCCTTCACCATTCCCTATGCTTAAGAGTTTGTAAAACAATGCAAAAGCAAGGGGATTTCTTTTCTCCCAGCTGGAAAACTTTCAAACACAGCTGATCCAGGCTGTGAAGAAAGCCCACAAGGAGGGCCCGGTGCCGGGAAGTGCTAACGGGGTGCTGGTGCTGGAGCGGCCCATCCTCATCGAGACCTACCTGGGACTGATGTCCTTCATCAACAACGAGGCCAAGCTGGGCTACTCCATGACAAGAGGCAAAATTGGATTTTAAACCCCCTTGCGAGTCACCTGTTCAAGGGCAAGTGAGTTGCTGGTGGTACTCTGGGGAGAGGGTGCTGAGGGCACAGCACGTGATAAAGCAAAGTTGCCAGGGGAAGGAAAGGAAAGGGGGAGGTTGTAGAACGCTTCCCAGGTTGTTTGGGAATGCACAGGTTGGATTTGAAGCAGACTCAGGGTGGTGTCAGTCTTGTATTTTGTACTTGATTTACAGCCCTCACTGGTCCTTGTGCAGGGTGAATGAGCAGTGGTGTGTTCTGTGTCCCAGTGCCTGCTCTTCCCAGTCCATGAAGTGCCATTGGAATCTGCTGAAACCCCCAGTCCACAGCAGAACCTTTGTGCCACGGCCCTGCTGTATCCCTGTGTACGGTGTCAAATCCTGTCGTGTGCTTGGGACTGCTTTGTGTTGTTTAAGAGGAATTGCTGCTCCAATCGCCATGATCTCAGTGCTCTGATTAATGCCTGTTAGGAATTTTCAAAGCTGTCAGTCAGTCTTTAACAGTATTTGCTGGCTTTTGCTAAAGCTGCACTGTTCCACCAGCTCAGCAGCAGTTTGTGAACTCAATATGCATTTCTGAGCTTCTTGTAAAAATCCCTCTAAGAACCTACTTTAACTTCCTCTCTACTTCTGTTTCTTTGCTGCAGTCACAGAATAAAGACTGTTGTGAGAGAACATTGCCAAAAGCCTCACAAACACGTTTGCCTTCAAAGCTGTTCTTTGTAGAACTGAAAAGGAATTCTATTTTGGTTAGATTGATACTCTTAGCCATTTTTCTTAAATCTACTCTAGTTTGGACCAGGACTTTTTAATGGAGACAGAGAAAACTTTCAGCACTGTGTGTCAGCCTTGGGCGATACATTCCTGCACTGAACCTCTCATCCAGGGATGAAATTCAGAAGCAGCCCAAGAGATTACAGCTGTAATTGCTCAGGAGGTGACTCTAACAAGCTTTTTCCTTGTGCATGACCTCCTCTCCATGCCCTTTCATCAGAGCCTTTATCTTCTAGATGAACACTGTGCTGCACTGGTGAGGTTTTTTGACTTTAATGTAGGTGAGTGTTTGTGAAACTCTTGTTGCAGTCAATCCTGGCTCCAGCTTTCCAAGCTTTTCCATGCATTTTCTAAGTTACCTGTTCAATTTTCATTACCCTTCCAGTAAAGTTGAAATTTAACTCTTACTTGGTATTCGCTCTTCATTTTCTGGAGACTGAGGCTGTGAAATTAGGTAGCAAAAGAAAAAACATCCAGTAAATTCCTAAACAAGAGGCTCCCTCCTCAGAAGGACACAGGAAAAAAAGGAAGAATATGCAACTGGCTCCTTCCCTGCCAAACCATCCACTCCTATTTGGCACCAGAGTTGGGACAAAAACTCCCATTTCAGTTACCTATAATTCAGCATCTTGAAGTGTCAATTGCGATCCTTCTGGCAAAGATTCCATGTAATAAATCCATGGTGGCCCAGGTACAGTTACTGTCACCCAAAATTAACTGTGTGCAAGTAACAGTTTCCTTGTGCTGGGATGAATTGCTACATCACATCACTGATCACACTGAAACAAACTTTCAAGTGCAGAGATCCAGGTTTATAGTTTATAACTATCAAAATATTTATTGGAAATAGAAAAATTAAATAATAGCTATACATTATATACACACAGAGCTACAGTCTTAGAAAATAAGGGTTCAGTGTTGAAAAAGAGATGTTCAACTCCACTAATACTCATGTTTTCTTGCAACAGACACTCATTCCTTACATTTCACTTGCTACATCACTTCATTCAAATGCAGTCACAGTATTTCACACACTGAGCTTGGAGCTCCTTCAAATAAATAACTTATAAATACAAACACTTCAGACTGGGCAATAGGTTTTGACTCCTTTCCTCTTTCTTCCTCAGACTTGGGAGCATTTTTAATGCATTTTAGTTATTTTATTTTACCGCTTCTGTTTCCAAGTAACACACACAGAAGTTGTCCTTACTCAGGAGCAGCATGGAGTCCCCATTAGAATTCCAGGAGAGAGATGTGATCTGGAAGTCACCTGCGGGAAGAAATCAGAGTGTGTCAGCAAGGAGGTGGCAGCCCATGCTCCTGCTGGAGGAAAAGGCAGCTGGAATCAGCCACACAAATCCCTGCTGGCCCTGTGCTGTCCTTGAAACATTTCCTGTGTCTCACTACGAGCTCCTCTTTTCCCAAGGGTGAAAACACCCATTTTTAAGCAGCTCCAAGAACATACCTGAGCTATTTCCAGGATAACACTCAGATCAGTTTATAAATGGAATAGTATTTTGTCACTGAGCAGTTGCTGAGAGGTTGTGGCAGCTGCTGCTCACCTTCTCCAGGCACCTGCACAACAACACAGCCAGCTGGGGACCACAGGTACACTCTGCTGCTGCCCGTGCACACAGCCAGGCGGGGCTGGCAGGGGTCCCACTGGAAACTCTGGATCGTGCACAGCTGCTCCAACACCACGGACAGCTTCAGCTTCCGGATGTCCCAGATCCACACGGCGTTGGGAATGTTATCTGCAGAGGAAGCAGCAACCGTGTGATAGCTGGAGGATAAAAGGATCACGCTTGGTTTTTCTAAATGCACAGGAACAAACAAATTCATACAATGCAAACCTTTAAGTACAGCCCAGGCTTAGCACCACTTGAGTTCTGCCAAGCAGAGCCTTCAGGAAACACCTCAGCCTTGGAAATATTGCAAAGAAAGATAAAAGTGATCTAGTTCATCTCCCAGTCCGTCCCTAGCTTTTATCACGTTAGTCTGTCTGATGGGTTTTGCACCTGACTCAGAGCTTTGGCACCCAGGCACAAACAGCCCCTCAGGACCAAAGGGAAAAACTGAACATTAATTCCATGACTTTCACTATTCAGGAAGTCAGAATTCCTCCTGCTATAGGTTAAGCAGAGTTCTGCCTCTTAAGAGACTCAGGCGGTGGGAAGATTTGTTTCATTTTCAATACAGTGAGCTCACACAAACTTGAAGAAACCTAAAACCCCACTATTTTCATTAAATACAGAGCCAAGGCTGAGTTCATGCCCTGATCAGCAGTTCTGGCAGTTCACAACAGCTAACACACACTAGAAGACAGGCTGGGATTCCTCTGTAGTTACACATCTCACAACAGAGCTGATTTTACAGGGCCATGACTCTTTTTATAGTGCAAAGGATCATTTCTGCTAAGGAAACCCCCCACATGCCCCACATGGTTTCCCCTCTAAGGCAGGGCAGTCGGAACCTACCATTTTTGGTTGCCAGGAAACAGTTATCTGCACTGAAGGCCAACATCCCAACTCCCACTTTGGGATTTGCCCTGTCAGCAACTGGTTTGATGTACTGTAAAGAAATTGGCACCTGGGAAATGTCATCTGGAATAGGAAATAAAAGTATTTCACTAAGTGAGCCTGGGTGGACAATGCATTCACATCCAACTGTTAAAACCCCTCATCTCTGAAGTGATAGGACCGTATTTTATTCTTCTCCAAGATGTTCCATTCAAAATTTCAATTGCTTTAAGATACCATATCCTCACAGCCACCCTACTACTATTCCTGCCCTCCTACAGAAAAGGAAAGGCTGAAAATTCAGCCTGAGATTCCTCAGATTAAATCAGGAAAATTAAAGATTAGTTTTTTTACTACCTTTTAACTTTTTCTTTTAACTAATATTTCAAACACTGTTAACCAAAGGTGATTTACAGTGCCACAAAGACTGAGACTGATTTTTACTGCCCTCAAGAACATCCAGAAGATCTGTTCTACCATCCAAGGGGCAGAGTTCACCTACAATGTTTATTTAAAGACTTCCCAAGGCAAACTCAAGTGTCTGGTTTGAGTAAACTTTGGCTTACATTTACTCTTTGTGCTGAAGAGAGAACTAGCCAATGCTCTTGTTGGAGGGAAAGAAAGTCTCTCTGTGTCAACAGTTGGGGATTTCTCCACTTCTTTATACACAATCTACAAAGAAACAAGTGAGAGCTCTACAGAAGGACCTCAGAGAGTTTGAACATGGACTGTTACCAAATACCCACATCCCACTGGCTCATTTGCACATTTAGTAGATCTCAGCATCCCCTGGTTCATCAGCAGAGGAAAGGGCTTCAGTAGGCAGATCTGGAATCCAGTATTCCCAGTAAATCATGGGCCATTTGGAACCATGATCAGGGAAACACTCCAAAGAATAAATCTGAGGGAGTGCACCTCATCCATTATTTCTGACAGCAAATTAAATCATCCCCAATTACAGTGGGAACATGTATCTCATTTTTGCAACCAAAAATCTTTAATCTGATTCTAACACAAAGTGCAGCACTGCAGAAGGAAAATAGCAAAAATATTTTAGTGTGTCTGCAACATATTCCCAAACACAAGCACCAGGATAAAACACAGCAACTGCAATTCCTGTCTGTGTAGTGGAGATTAACAGAGCTATTTCCATTTGTTTTCCATGACATATTTTACACCTAACTGGAAGTTAAGGCATTCTTCAGCTATGAGAAGCTTTGCTGAGGTGCTTTAATGGCTCGTGCCTTGCTTCTGGTTAAGAGGCAGAGTCATGTGAATATTGCAGGCTTACAATCCACACACAAACTCTTCCAGGAGGTCTGTTCAGTCCCTCTGCAATGGCAAACAGCACCACACACTGTTCTTGTTACCTCCAGGGATGAGATCAGCTCGGGATTTTGGGAACAGCAGTTCTGCACCTGCTGCCAACAGCCCAGAATCTGTCAGGCCTTGCAGGTTCAGGTATAAAGGATAAAAATCAATACTGACAGATGTTCCAGGAAATGCCCTTTAGGTGAGCTGGATGAGCCTGTCCACACAGGATGAAAAATCTGAACACAATCCAGTTCCAGCACTGTTTAAAGTTAAGAATTGTATAATGCTGAGACAAATCTCTCCTGTTCAGCTTTCCATTTTGCTATCGGCTGCACACCCTAATCTGTAATGCAGCCACCACCTACACCAAAATACACTGGCACGTGACAGGAGTATCTGAGAATCTATTACTGCTCAAGAGAGACAACCACAGACATATTCAATCAAATTTGAAAGGATTCACACATTTTCGTTATATTCCCAGGTTGTAATTTCCCAAGCCCCAGCAGGAAAAAAAGCAAAGCCTCCAGAATGAAATGGACTCATCAGCATCTTTGAGATACAAACAGCAGCATCCAAGCTCTGCTAAGGACTCCATGAATTTGGGACCCACACTTACAGTCTTCTTGCTGGCAATGGTTGCTGGATGGTCAAGCTCCGTGATCTTCTTCCACGTCACGTGGTTCAGGATACGCACCTGGCTCAGGAAGCATGGCAAGGGGAGACTGTTAGGGCAAAGTTCTCCAAATGGTTTAGATAAAAGAGGCAGAAACCATTTCTTACCTTTTCATCAAAGCTGCCAATGGCCAGGAACTGGCTGCTGGGACTCCAGGCGATGGATTTGACGCCCAGGGGCCACTCATAGGCACGGTAGGAGGAGAGCAGCCGCCCATCAAGGGAGTACAGCAGGACCTTGTACTGAAACACAGACAGAGCCACTCTAAAATCCAGCAATGCTGCTAAAAACCACAGGCAGGCAAATCATCCCTGCCAAACATTGCCTGTTTAACATGCAGCAAGTTAAATACAAAGGTACAAATGGTCTCTTAGCACTGAGTTAAGAGGCTTCGTTGCTCTCTTTTTGGATGAGTACTTTCATTAACTGTAAAATCACTGTGCAGTGCAATATCAGTAAAGTTGTAGAACACTCTTACATTCTTCCATTATTCTTCCATTATTTCAGTAGCATCTTCTACAAAGTTTACAATTTTTTTACAAGATAAATTAGAAATAATTTATGCTGTCATTGAGGGTTTACAGAAGTGACATCCACTTGCAAGGACACCCATCCCCAATACAAGTGTAATATTTAACAAAAGCTGGACTCACACCTTTTTATGTTCAAAAGAAACATTTTAAGTACTAATTGTTTTAGTCACTGCTTTATACATGATGGCCAAAGACCAGCTTGAACTCTTCAAGAAAAGAATTTGCTTTTCCTCCTACCTCCAGGCATGTGTCCCATGCTGCCAGCACACAGCCATTGGGAGCCCACTCAATCCCAAACAGATCCTGGGTTTCAGTGTCAAAATGCTGCCCACAAAAGAGAAACCACAAAACCATTTGAAATATGTCAACAAATGCTGTTACACCTAAACTGACAGAAGGTTCAGTTTTAACCTTTCAAGGGCTACCACAAACACAAAAGAGCTTTTTGTATGCCAGAGTAGCAACAAAAATATTTCCTCTTGTAACACATGCTGCATTCAGTGGATCTTTGATCCCCTCTACAGAAAAGCTAAAAGTTTCTATACTTTCAAATAAACAACATTTCATATGAAAATTAAATTAGTCACACTGAATAAATCAAAAATTCAGGAAGCCCAATTCCTTGTCTTAAAGCCAGTACAGGATTTCATAATCCCAGAATAGTCTGAGCTGGAAGGGACCTTACAGCTCATCTACTATGGGCAGGGACACCTTCTGCTATCCCAGGTTGCTCCAAGTTCCATCCAACCTGGCCATGGACACTTCCAGGGATGGAGCAGCCACAGCTTCCACTACAAGGTTCATTAGGGAAGAGCTCAGGAACATGACAAACATTTAGTGGTATTTCCCAAATTTTCTCTCAGCTTCTGGTGAGGCTCAGAATTCCCAAATTAGAGGTGACACAACATACAGACAAGTTTTTCATGAGGTTTAATTGCTCAGATCCAGCCTGTGACCAGTGCCAGTCTCCATGGACTGATCCCATGTGTGAACAGTTTATGTCACATGTCCCAAGTACCAAGCACTTGCTACTCCCACTGTTTCTAATGGAGTAGTGTGCAGTATGTGCAGGTAACCTCCACAGCAGGGTAGGAGGAGAGGCAGAGCTTACCCTGAGGAGCTGCCAGTTTCTGCACACGAAGATGCTGATGAAATCTTTGCAGTCCCGTCGCTCCGCCACGGCCATGTAGCGCCCATCCCTGGTGAAAGCCACCCCTGCCACAGGACAGATTAATTAAACCTGGCTTAAATAGAAATCACACAACAAGGCAGAAGAGCTGATGAGGCTTCAGCGAAGAACAGTTACTCCCAATTCAAAGCAGAAATAAAAGAGGAGACAGAATCTCTTCACAGAAGGTCACATTAATCAAGGCAAAGCACAGTGCTACTGATCTACTGTGTCAGCGATTTTTAAGCTCAGAATGTACAATTTCTCAGGATGCAGAGCTCCAGCGTGCTTCAAAACACATCTAACCACTGACAGTTGTTATATAAACCAAACAGATTTTAAACAACCACTTCATTTAGCCTGGCTAAATGGATCAGTTATGCAACCATAAGGTCTCCAACTCCCAGGCATTGCTCCCCATCCTCTCGGATTTTACATGGAATACATAATTGTCTTTGTCATCTCTGGGATACAAGCCTTGGGCAGGAAACTGCTCACCACAGCCATGTGGTCTTACAGCCCTGACACAATCCCTTTCCAGCCTTTCCATATGCAGAAGATGACAAAAGTCCCTTTGAATTAATGTTTTTTATCACAAGCACATCCAGCATAATTTAATGCCTTAAAGGATCCCCCAGAAGCAAACACAACACAGATGCACATGTGAAGAGCAGGCACGTGGGTCAGCTGGAATCCATCACTCACACAGCCTGGCTGCAGGTGCTGCTCAGAAGGGACAGGACCAGACCCTGTTCCCAAACATGGCATTTGTCATCACATTAATTTTCCCTTTCTGTCACATTAAAGGACCATTCCCAGGTAGGTGTATGACACTTACCTTGCTGGCATGCTTTGGGGTACTTGATGTAAGACACAGACTTGGTGCACAAGGACCACACCGTGATTCGGAGCTAGAACAGAGAAAGGGAGCAGTTTGGTTATTTTTGTAGATTGAAAAAATAATAATTAATAGGAAAATATCAACCTAATTCAGCAACACAAAGTGGATCAATGAACTTTCTGTGATTAATTAATTCTGCAGCTATTTTGTGTAACACAATGTCCTGGGAAGCAGCTAAGAGGAATTCTTTCCCAATTTCTGGCAGTTAGCAGGGAATTTACCCCAAGCTTACATGAGTACTCTAGATGGGGACACAAAATTCACATCACTGGTATGGAGATAAACTCTTCACAAACACTGAAGTTCCTGACATTAGGACAAATGTTTCTCAATCTATTGCCCAGAATCACTTTGCAGTTGGGAAAACAGATTCATCACAGAATCTGGAGGAGAGGTGGGGAGTTTCTTGCCTTTATGAATAGATGACAAGTTACAGGCACTTCAGAACATTGTATCCCTTGGGAAAAGGCTACCAAGTGTGAACACTGAGCTGTATTTTACAACATTCAGAAACCCTCAGCTTTCATGGCTGATTTGTTTTGCTCTTCTCTCCTCAGGCACACACAATGAGGCACCCATACAGAATTACTGAAAAATTCAGACACCCAAAACCTGCTATGCAAAGCAAGGCTTTACACTGGTGTTTGGGGGATTTCTGGAGAACTGTGCCTCCACAAGCACCAAGAGCTGCAGAGAGGGCAGGCAGCTGCAAACCTAGCCACCCCACAGCTCCCCAAGGTCACAGCTGCACTCCAGGCTCTGCCTTGCCATCTGCACATTACCCAATTAAAAATAAATACTCCCTCTCCCTTAGCAACGACAGCCCCAGCCACATGGGCATTCACCAGGATAGCACATGAACCTTTGCATTTGGAGCTGGAGCAAAGAATGTTTCCAGGCTCAGGTTTTTAACTTGTGTTTTCCTGCATTTTACTGTACCAAGGAAGAGCTACAGGTATGACTTTTAGCAATTAAGCACCTCCATCACAAAACTGCCTTTCCCTCAACTACTGAATGCCAAAATTAATTCTGATCTGTTAGGTAAAACACCAGCATTGTCCCCATTTCCTCCTCCTCCCACATCCCACACAGCCCAGCAGCATTGCAGCAGTCTCGGGAGGAAGGTTCTCAGACACCCTTTTGCAGGTTTGTCCTTTACACACCTTATCGTTCCCTGAAGTACCTGGCACTGTTCAATGGTGACAAAGGATGCTGAGGGAGCAGCCTGTGGATCTGCTTCACTGGTAATACTGCAGGCTCTGTGTTGCAACAGAAGTTGGAGGTTTTTCCCTTGCTGACATGATCAGTTTTGGTGGGAAACACAATTCATTTACAGGGATTTACAGGGTTCAAACCAAGCTTCAGAATTCCAGTAAACATTGCCTCCCCATCAGAGATCCATTGAATCCCAAATAGTCCCTTCTGCCCTACACATCAGACAAACTTCTGAGATTTGAAGAAATAGCACAGAAATCTTTTTCCATGGAATCATAGAATAATTTGGGCTGGAAGGGACCTTAAAGCTCATCTTGTCCCACCCCCTGCCAAGGACACAGACACTTTCCAGTAGACCAAGTTGCTCCAAGCCCTGTCCACCCTCACAGGGAAGGATTTCTTCCCAGTATCTCACCTAACCCTGCCCTCTCTGTCAGTGTCATTCCTCCTTGTCCTGTCACTCCAGGCCCTTGGAAATAGTCTCTTTCCATCTTTCCTGTAAGTTCCCTTCAGGCACTGCAAGGCCACAATGAGGTCACCCCAAAGCTCCTCCTCTCCAGACTGGAAAATCCCAACTCTTCCAGCCTTTCCCCCGAGCAGAGCTGCTCCATCCCTCTGATGACCAGGAGCTCCAGGTCCTTCCTAGGCTGGGGCCCCAGGGCTGGAGGCAGCTCTGCATGTGGGGTTTCACCTGGGCAGGGCAGAGGGGCAGAACCTCCTCCTCTAAGTTCAGCAGCTCCTGGAGGAATCCACAAGATGAGCAACCACCAACTTTTATCCCTGGGGCCACTCACTTCCGGCCACCCAAACCCAGCGTTGTCAGTCTGCTCCTCAGGCAAGATTTACTTTAAAAATACCAACACAATGCCTCCACACATTCTTCTGCAGCAACTGCAGCATTGAAATACTGCTGGGGACTATTAATTGCAGCCCTAAATGCACTGGCTGCCCTACCTCCCCTGAGCAAAACACACAGCACACATTCTCCAGCCACTTAATACAAGCTTAGCAGCTGCAGGCTTCAAATGCTGAGGGCTGGACCATCATTTTTCTGACAAAGGCATCTGAGTGCTGCTACACGGCCTCATGAACAGCTCCCCTGGCCTGCTGGGCATCAAACACTTCCACCCTGGACCACACTGGCTGCTCCAAGCCTCAGGAGGCAACACCTTGCTGCTCACATTGAGCTCAAGAGCACACACATCTCTGGAAACGGGACACAGCACAACCCATGCTGAGTTCCCACTGTCGCCTCTGCCCTGCCTGAGGCTCAGCCAAAGAAAAGGCAAAGCCACCTTTGTTTTGAAATATTTCTACATCCATCTCTGCTCCATCATGGAGGCACAGAATCATACAGGATGGAAAATCCCTCACAGACCACTGAGTCCAACCATTTTCCCAGCACTGCCAAGGCCACCATTAGACCACATCCCAAAGTGCTATATTTAAATGTCTTTTAAATCCCTCAAGAGATGGGACTCTAGCCCTCCCTTGAGGGGCCTGTCCCAATGCTTGACAACCCTTTCCATGAAGAAATTTTCCCTAATATCCAATCTAAACCTCCTTTTGCTGTAAAAAAGCAGCTTCTCCAAAAGGGTCAAGCTTTGTGACTCCTCAAGGAGGACAATAATGGTTTTCCTGTTCTTCACTGTTGAGCACGTGCTCCTGGCACTGGATGTTTTGGTGCCATCACACCCTGGTGCTGCTGAGGGGGCACTGCCCTGCCCTGTGTGCCCCAAAACATGGACACCAAACTGCCCCAGTGTCTCTGCAGCACTGGGGAGAGCCCACAGAGCACAGCCAGCACATGCTTCATGACACAGTCACACACACAAAAATACACCTGCAAAAACCCAGACTACAACTAAACCAGATGCCTATAAGTGTCTGACAAGTAAAGCCTTCATCTTCACTCCATCTATCAGCCACAACACACTTTTAACATCTAATAAGAATCACATAGAATCACAGCATGGTTTGGGTTGGAAGAGACCTTCACACATAAAAATTATCTTGTTTAAAATCCTCTCTTCACAGATTCATTGAGGTTGGAAAAGACCACCAAAGTCATTGAGTCCAATCCATCCTGTGCCTCATCCCCACCCTGTCACCCAGCCTAGGGCACTGAGTACCACCTCCAGGGATAGGGATTCCACCACCTCCCTGGGCAGTACCTTCTGATGCCTGACCAGCTTTTCCATGAAAAAATTCTTCCTCATCTCCAACCTGACCCTCCCCTGGCAGAGCCTGAGGCTGTGTCCTCTCATCCTGTCATTCTCTGTCCATTCAACTCCACTCTCTCCCCTGCAAGGGCTGCAGGCTCAGAAGGAAGCACACAGATACATTCTATAATTCCATTGTCACCTCTCACCCAATTCATACAACTTGATGGTTTGGCCTAGTGCTAGGAACATTCAAAACCAAATCATTTTGATTCCTGAAAGTAGGATCCTTTTCCCTTGTTCCATTTGTGCCCACTCAGACATTCCTACAGAGAAACTCACATTATGTGCTTAATGTATGGATTTTACACCCCCTTCCCTTAACATTGTGTTTACAACTGAATTGTGACAGAAAGGGAAAACCTTCATATTCCCACCTGGAACATTCCACAATCTCATTTAAATTGCCAAATAAATGAGATGAAGAAGATTAGAAGGATTATGTCACAGCTTGCAGACAGGATCAGGAGCAAGAGAAACACCAAACACAGAGGGGGAGAAAAGAAACTAAACGCTTCAAAAATGACAGGAAATTTCCATTGCTGCTCATTGCCTTTCTTAGGGAATTCATGGAGAAGGGACAATTGTTTTATAGAAGGAGAACAGCCCATGGTCAGTTAAGTCTGCAGCAAGCCCTTCTCCACTGCTCCTTTTGGGGGATACTTTCTCTTCAGCATAGATGACTCAACTGAGTGGAGTTGTCACACTCAAATCCTCACAATAACGGCGTCTGAGAAGATTTCAGCTGTTGTTTTGCAGTGGAAAAACAAACCAAAAGCAGAAACATTTTTAGAATAGCCTAAAAACAGCTGAGAAATAAAATGTATTTAGATGGTAACGTGATAAACAGTCTCCAGCGCCAGGCCCAGAACCACGGCCCAATGTTGACAGCTCCAGGCAGGTGTAGAACTGGTGATTTTCAACAGACAAAAACACACTTTTAAACAACCTACAGCTCAAATAACTGTCAACTCTTGTCCCAGACTTGACTGGGTCACTCAGCCCCCTTACATAGCAGTGTCTGTCAGCACCGGATTTCAGAAGATTATTCGCAGTACATTCCTCGCCAGGAAGCATTTTTCAGCCAATGCAGCCACACACAGTTACTAAGGATTAGCTGGGATACACACAGAAACACACACTTTTCCCTGCTGCTAGAGTTCCAAAGAAGCTCCTTGATGCTTAAGGGCCTGACATGGAATGAGACAAAGCATGTAGTTTATAAGCACAGCTCTTAAGAGAAACACTCCAGAATATCTTCACACTATTTATCCCAGGTCATGAGGAAGCAGAGAATCACAGAATTCCAGGATGGCTTGGGTTGGAAGGGACCTTAAAGCTCATCTTATCCCACCCCCTGCCATGGGCAGGGACACCTTCCACTAGACCAGGTTGTTCTATGCCCTGTCCAACCTGGCTTTCAGCACTTTCAGAAATGTGAAGAGGATCCATTTTCTTTCCTTCAGTTCTTCACCTGCAGCTGTTGGTTAAGCTTTACCTGTGCCTGTAAATTCTGGTGGCATGATGGCATTGGAAGGAGTCACATGGGGTTCAACACCTTCCACAGGACACGTTGATAATGTGAAACTGCCTCCCAGAGAGGATTTCAGTATAGAAGGAACACTAACCACAAAGAAACCCTACAAATCAGCTGATGAATTCCAAGTGTCAGAGGATGGTGCCAGACTACTTTTTCAGGTGCCAGTGACAGGACAATGAGTCATGTCCATAAAGTAAAACACAACAAGCTCCACCTCAACATGAGGAAGAATTTCTTTCCATGGATGGAGGCAGAGCACTGGAACATCTTCCCAGGGAAGGCATGGAATCTCCCTCTCTGGAGACATTCCAAACCCACCTGGATGCATTCCTGTGTCACCTGCTCCAGGTGACCCTGCCTTGGCAGGGGGGTTGGACTGGATTATCTCCAGAGGCCCCTCCCAACTCTAACTATTCTGGGATTCTGTAATGATTTTTCTGAGGCACTGGTAAGTACTCATTGCTAGAAAGAAATTAGCGCAACCATAACCTTTAAAAAACTCAGTGAATAAGAAAGTTCCTTGTGAGCTCTCAGTGGAGTTCACACATTGACCTGAGGAATAACAAGTGGTTACTTGGTGCTGTTTGGAAGTGACCAAAGCCCAGCTGAGCTGGCTGACAGGGAACCCCCAAACCCTCCAGGAAATTGCTGGATTTGAGAACACACTGATATTAAATATCCTGAGCATTGCCCACATCCCCCCAGACTGTGGATTTAGCAGGGAGGGAGCAAACACAGCTCCAACCACGGCACAGCCCCGGCAGCTGTCTGACAACAGCTAATTTAGCAACCTGTTTACAGCTGGAAAGGAAACTTATCCCCACACAGATGCCAACTTGGCAAAGGCTTAATGAAATCCTCTAAGGTCAAACCGAGTTCTGTTGGGAGGCAATAAATCCTCACTGGTCCACCCCCACACGCACGTGCCACGAGATCCTCTCTGGGAGCCTCACACAGCCCCAGCCTGCAGTTCTGCCTCCTCCGCTGCTGCCTGTCACCTGCCACCAGCAGGGATGGCTGCACTGCCTCCAGGCTGGAATTCTGGGCTTGTTTTTAATTTTTATTGTTGCTATCAGGGCAATTCACACCTGGGAAAACCAAGGCCTAGACTTATCACTCCTATCTAGAGGGATGGGGGAGTGGGTCTGTACACACACGGCTGAGTCCACAGACACATCCCACTGACATTGGGATTTGCACAAAAAAGGGGGGAATCTTACACTGCAAGCATGTGAATTCTGTGCTAACCAGTGTTATGGCACAAGATCCTGTCACCTAAAACCCTTCCACAGGTTTGGAAAGAGTAAACACAAAGAGAAAGTGTCTCACATGATGTTCTTGGCTATTTTCTGACCCTTCATTGTTGTACTAAATAACAAGAATCATCAGCCCTAATCCAAAAGGTGGAAGAGTCGCAATCCACAAGCCTTCCTACAAATTGACCATCCACAAAACAGTTTGGATTCTACATTAGTAGCATTCCACAATATTGGTCTTAATAAGCATTAAAGGTGTCATAATTTTAATTTTAGAAGTGGTTCCACCAGCAGTCTGGGTCCTGTGTGTCAGATCAAACAACTGGGAAAATATTTTCAGGATCTGGATCTAAATCTCATCTGATAGGTCAATAAACATAAGCCTGTACGTTTAAATTTAAAATCACTCTGAAACATTTACGGTTTGGGTTTTGTTAACTAGAAATCCTGAGCTTTTCACACCGTGCAAACAACATATTGGATTTCTAAGACTGCTTAGATGAATGCCATCAACATCAAAAACATCAGGAAATGTTCTAAAACACACAATTTTACCTTCAAATTTAAGTGCTCATTTTCTATCTTCTCACCAGAAGCAAGAGGACAAAATGTTAGTGGAATAACAAACACCAAACCTGGAATTAACCTGAGCTACACACAGGAGTACAGAGCTGCATCCATGCTCTCCACCACCACTGCAGCTTTAAGGGCTTTAGGTTATTTTAGGAGGCAAAGGGCAGACAGCAACATCTGACACCAAGGGGAGCAACCCTGCCTCCACACTCACATGGAACTCGGTGGTGTTGAGGATGTGACGCCCGTCCGGACTCCAGCATGAAGCCACCAATCCTGCGGAGCCCTCGTCGATCTTACAGTGCCAGTCCGGCTGCTCCAGGGACCAGACCTGGGGCAGGGAGCAACCAGACACAGCAGGAAGCATCAGCTCATGCAAACCTCTGCTCAGGAGGATTCCCTGCAGCTGACAACAGGCTCCTGCATCCCACCTCAGGGAGCTCAGGAACACCCAACCACCCACAGCCATGAAGGACTGGCGCTGGATCCCGCTGCAAAAGTGAGTCCCACACCTCTGGGTGATCATGGAAATGGCAAATGATGAGGGGTTTGGGTTTTTTTTTTCAGTGACAAATATTCCGAACATCCAACATTTAAATAGGTTTAGTCCATTTAACAAGCTTGCATGTTATTTCTTTCCTACTGCAATAAGAAACTGGTATGATAATCTCCAATTCTGATCTGTTTTTCTAGACGTTTTTATCCTAAATATTCTTTTTCAATCTAAGATATTTTGCTTCCAAAATCCTGGCATGCTGGGTTATCCTCAAACTGTGTCATCAATAACATCAGGTGCTTCTGCAAAGCCTCAGACTAGTCCTAGCTGTTAAGCGCTCACATCACACCCAAATCCCAGCAGGAAATACGCCCTGTCCTGCCTTCATCCTCACCTGGACAATGCCCCGCTTGTACATGGCACACAGGACGAACAGGGAGTCCGAGGACCACTCGATGTACTGGATCTGATCCAGGCAGGTGTAGAGCTGGCGGATCTGCAGGGAGCTCGCATCCCGAACCACCAAACGGTGCTGCACACAGGAGGCCTGGGGGGAACGGAGACAGGGCTCAGCTGGGGCAGGATCCTGGATGGAGCACCAGGGCTGTCCCTGCCAGGCTCACTGTGATCCCAGGTTTAGTTCAGAGAGGGTCAATGTTGTTTTTAAAAAAAAAAAATACTCCCTGTGGGTGGTGAGCCACTGGCACAGGTTGCCCAGAGAAGCTGTGGCTGCTCCTGGATCCCTGGAAGTGTCCAAGACCAGGCTGGACAGGGCTTGGAGCAACTGGGGATAGTGGAAGGTGTGCCTGCCCATGGCAGAGGCTTTGAACTAAATGAGCTTCAAAGTAATTGCACTCCAAACCAGTGTAGGATTCTGTATGCACTGAGCTCCACTGCAAAGTACAGTGAGAACTAACCCAGGGGGAAAGGGAGTTTTACAGTAATAAATATAATCTTTGTTGATTCCATCACTGCTGGGTAAGTAATGCCAGTCTTTAAAAAATATCTGTCTTGTAATTTATTTTATTTCATTGACTCCCAGAATGGTTTGGGGTTGGAAGGGACCTTAAAGTTCATCCAGTGCCACCCCCCTGCCATGGGCAGGGACACCTTCCACTGTCCAAGCCCGGTCCAACCTGGCCTGAGGGCACTTCCAGGAACCCAGGGGCTTCTTTGGGCACCCTGTGCCAGGGCCTGAGGACCCTCACAAAGAAGAATTCCTTCCCAATATCCCATCTAACCCTGCCCTTTGGCAGTTTGAAGCTCTTCTCCCTTGTCCCGCCTCTCCAAACCGTTGTATAAAGTCCCCCTCCATCTTTCCTGTAGGCACCCTCCAGATACTATTTAATTTAAAGTACTAATTCATTTACTGATTAACTTAACCTAACTCAGGGCTCTGGTACTGACACTTACCGCCTCAAAGCCTCTCGGCAGCAGCCTCTGAGCTCAGGCCCGCAGGCTCCGGGGCTCCATCCCTGCCCGCTCCGTGTCCGCCCTCAGCCCGGCCCGGCCCGGGAGGCCCTGCCAACCGCCCTGTCCCGGGCCGCGCGGCCCCGCTGACCGCGGCCGGCACTCACCAGGCATTTTCCGTCGGGGGAGAAGCGGCCCAGGAGCCCCGAGAGCTTGAACAGTTCCGAGAAGTTCATGGCGGGCGCGGCGGCGCTGGGATTCGACCCCGCCGCGCTCCGCTCGGCTCCGCTCCGCTCCTCCGGGGCCCGCCGGAAGGGGCGGGGCCGCGCGGGAGGGGCCGCCCCGGGGCACGCCGGGAGTTGTGGTCCCCGCGCAGGCCCGGCAGGGGGCGCCCGGCGGCGGGAAGCGCGCGGGAAGGCGCCGCGTGAACCGCATTGGTATGCAAATGTGCCGCTAATGAGCTGGGTAATGACGCGGTTAATGAGCTGAGGAGCGCCTTCCCCCTCCTCTTCCTAATCTCAGGGAACCCTCCCTTATCTGGCGCCTTTCCGCGGGCAGCGTCCCGCGCCCGGAACAGCCCAAGGCAATTAATCAACCCTTCTGGCTAATTAATCAGCCCTTCGGGCTAGTCACTACTGCCGGGTAATTACCGACAGTAACGGGAGCACAGGTGCGATATCCCGCTAGATTCCCCGAACAGGACAGAGGAACTAAAAATGCAATAGAGACACTCCAGCAAAAAGGATGTGAACTGACTGGAATCAATCAATCGATCAATAAATAAATAAATACAGGCACACCAGGGGAGGGGCAGAGCCCAGATAACCCCTCTCAGGGGACATATTCCTTTGGGAAACAGCCCCCTCCCGGTGCAGCCGGCTGCCAAGGAGCAGAAGAGCACGGGGGAACGAGGAGGGTGACAGGGGTGTCTGTGTTCCCAAAACACTGTCCCCAAAACTCTCTGGTCCCGCGGGCTGAACAGCCAGGGGGGTGCACAACTGCCTCCCTTTGTCCCCACGGTCTGTACCCCCGGGATTTTTGGGTGGCGGCAGCCTGGCTTCTGTCCCAGTGACAGCACGGCCCGGATGGGACCCCCTCCCTCCCAGTTTGGGGGCCACAATCGCCATCACTTATAAAGAAGCCTCACGATCAGAGGTTTTGAGGATTCGAGACTTGATTTCATTGCGGACTATTTGGGTTCCAAAAGCTGGTTCCAGCCCCACCGATGTTTTTTGGCGGGTGAATGCATTTTCTGCCCCCACAATAGAGGGACAGACGTGACAGCTGCTCTGCCGTCACCATCTGCCCCACGTGTGATGTGGGGGTGCCTGTGGGCAGGGGGTGTGTGTTGGTCCCCGAGTGGGGACAGGGGACCTGAGCATAAGCAGTGACTGCCCAAGGATGAGCTGTGCTCGCTGCCTTCCTGCGTGACGGAGGGCAGTGACCAGCGACACGGGACTTTGTGAGAGGGGTGTCAGTGTGACACGGTGTCTGTGAGTTCATAATTAGCTTTGCGGGTGATGGGTTTTAATCAGAAATGTTCAGTCTTCACCCACTGCCCCTCTCCGTGTGCCTTGGCAAGTCGCTGTTCCCCAGGGGAAGCCGGGCAGGGAATCCCGGAGCCCTTCCCTATCCCGCAGGCGGTCCCGGCCGCCCCAGGAGAGATGATCCGGTCACCTGGCTGAAAGCAAACACAAAAACTGCTCAATCCACCGATCTGATGAGGGGAAGAACCCCCTTGATCTACGCTGAGAGTCCTTTGCTGGATGTCCCAACCCTGGAAGTGGCCAAGGCCAGGTTGGACGGGATTTGGAGCAACCTGGGACAGTGAAAAGTGTCCCTGCCCATGGCAGGGGTGGAACGAGATGATCTTTAAGCTCCCCTCCGACACAACCCGGTTATTCCCTGTTTCTGTGACTGACTGAAGCCCAGCGGTGCTGCCGCGTGGCCGCCACTGTTGCAGCTCCCGCATCCAACTTGCCCCGGCGTCACTTTGGCGCCGGTGACCAGCTTTAATTCCCTGGCACGCTTGGCTGAGCACTCCCCACCCCCTTGTAACTGCCTCCTATTCCAGGAAGGAGCGCAAGAGCTTTTGCCTCACTTTTCACACAGCTTTCAGCAGCTCCAATATCATTGCCTTGGCGACCGGGACGCTACTCCAGCGTAGTGCAGTAAATAACGTAGATCCTCAATCCCAGGCCACTCCTGTCTGCGGGAGACCTCCGGGGGAACTCAAAACGCAGGTAGGAGGAAAAAAAAAAAACGAAAAACCAAACTATAAAAAGAAACCCCTTGCTTTGGGTGTGTGTGAGTTTCTAGGCACGACCCTCCCCTGAGCGCTCGATAACGCGCTGGAAGATGATTTGCGGCCGCTTTACTTCGTGGGCTTCCGACACGATTTAAAGTGTCTTGGAAAGTTTTTTCCCAAGTGCCTTAACTCTGGAGTGAATGCACTTTTGGAGCAGCCTTGAACGGGGGGAACAACGGAGGGGCTGGATGCCGGTGGGATGCAGGGGCTGGCTGGCTGCCCCTGTGCAGGGCTGAGGCTGGGCTGCCAAGGAGGGAGGGGGAGCAGCGGCCTCAGCCTCCTCCCCATCACGACCTGCTGTCAGTGACTGCAGCCAGAGAGGATTTCTGTCCAACCTGCCTCGGAAAGAAAATTGTTGATAAGCTGCTGGACTCCACAGAGGGGTCTTGAGATTCAAAGTGTGCTGCAGGAAAGTTCACTCGCTCCCTATTGCTTTTACAAACCTCATTTTGCAGGTGTGAATTTAACAGTCCGGGACAAATGAATGATAGCACAGGGCTGCGTTAGCGCAGTGGGACTGGCATTTTTGCAAACATTAAGTTGTTTGCTGTGGGTTGGATGAGCCTGATGGGTCTCGTTGTGCGGAGGAGAGAAGGTCCAGTGTCAGTTCCCAAGTCATGGAGCAGCTCCGTGTGAGAGGTGGAAACGGTTCTCAGAAGTCCTTCTCTCCCAGAGAGCCCTTAGGAATTAGTCATAACCCTTTACATAGGGTTTGTGCATTTATCTCCCTTTAAGGTGGCTGCAAAACGCTGTTATGTTTCGTTCTGGGCTGTTGGAGTGGCGGGATAGCATTGAATCACCAAGTGACAACAAAAACTGAGCATTTCTGGTGCTAAACCTGAGCCCTAATGTTGATAGTGAGATCAAAGATGCTCCTTCCAGAGAGTGCAGAAACTCAGCGGGCAGGCAGTGCTCCCAGCAGGGCTGAGAGCCCACGGTGCCCTTCACCGTCCTCATTGTGATGAAAAAAGTTGATTTTATAATCATTCTAATAATTAGTTGTGGCTCTGTGATCACAACACGTGAGTGAAGCAAGGCTCGGTAGACGGAGGTTCATCTGCTCTGCTTCTCCAGGGAGTTGTTCTCACAAATTGAGGTGGTTGTCGGGACCTTGGTTGTGCTTTTCCTTCTTCCTCTGTCTCTGGGGCTGGGTTTTCCACTGCACCGTGGAAAACTGAGTACGTGGCGCTTTTCCATACTGATCGTTGGAAATCATTTCAGGGTCCGTTCACAGGGAAGCTTCATGGGGAGAAGGAGCCGGACCCGGTGCGACCCCGCCGGGTCCCGCATCCCGGGGGTGGCAGCCCCGCCGCGGGCTGAGCCGGGTCCCGCGGGGAGCAGAGGTGGGGGATCACCTGTTCGCAGGCTTTCTCTCCCCGCTGCCGGGCTCTTTTCCCGTGTGCAGGTTCCCTGCAATGCCCTGACTAGCAACAGAGGGAAGCAGCAATCCAGGGAACGCTGGAGCCGGCTTGGAGTGCAGCTCTCCCAATGAACGCCGGTAAATCCCACCGGCAACCCGGGATCCCAGCACCAACCTCCTGGTTTGCACATTTTGGTCTCTTTTTCCCTTAGAAACATGCAATAAATCCAGTGCAGGTCCCTCCCGAGCTGTGTCAGCCGTGCCAAGCATCTCCTGCTGCCTCCCTGCCACGTCGAGGCAGAAGGGATGGAGAATTGCTTCCTGCACCCTTTCTCCTGGGCTAGCAAATCTCCACTTTAATAAGTAGATTGGGGTCTCTGGAGGTGAGAATCCTCCTGATGGAGTGTGGCTGGAGAATTCTTGCTGGAAGAAGTCAGGATGAAACCCCAGGTCTTCCCTCTGGTGTGGGGAGCTGGTGACAGCAGGGAGCTGACACAGTCAGGGCGCAGGCAGAACAGGCTCAAAACTGGGGAGCTGGAAGGGACAGGGAGCTGAGCTGGGCTGTGTCTGGTCCTGAACTCAGCCCCAGGAGCCATTTGCTCAGCCTTGGGCACGGGAATTGCATCCATGGCACTAGGAATGCTTCCAGAGCAATGCAGAATTAGGCTCCAAGGCTCTTCCCAATTTACCTTTGATTTTGATGTTGCACAAAGCTCCCACTGCTTCCCACAGGGTGACTTTTCCTTCTGCAGGACCTCACCATCACAGTGCTTTCCCACCTTCCCAAATGTGAAAGCCTCCAGCATTCCCTGAAAAAGGGCTCTAAATGGCACCTCCTTTCAGAGGGAATTGGATCAGCACCAGGCAAATTTGAGGGAACCTATTTGTAGGTAAATTGACTGGTAAATTCTTTACCAACCCAGGGTAAAGCTTGGCACCAGGCTGTCACTATTGCTGCAGAGGTGCTTTCCCAGGATGAGCAGGGATCAGAGCAGCAGGGATGTGCCTTAACACCACCAACCACCCGACTTTCCCTTTGTATCCCTTAGTTCAGATCTCAAACATAGACACTAGCCTGGCTTTGCACACCCAGGCTGTGCTTTGAAAGAGTGAAAGGGAACTTCCAAAACACCCTTAAAATAGTCAGGTTTCTTGCCTTTTGAAAACGAGAGCAGCCACGTGGTTAGAGCTGGTGTCACCCATGATGACCACACAGCCGGGGCGGTGCGGAGGTGCTTTCTCCTCTGGAGGAAAAGGCCTGACTACTTCCTGAAGCTGCTCTGGGCCAGGGAAAGCAGCATGGAAGAAGGGTAAGGCCGCCACCAGTCCTATTCTGTCATCTGCCTCTGTTCTAGGCTTTTCTTCCTCTCAGAGCTGCCCGTAGGTCCTTTAATTTCCCTGTGTGTCAAACGTGGGATGTGGAGGGATGGACGGGAGAACAGACTCCGCCTGTTAGCTGTCCCTGACATGGGACCCGTGAGGAACGAGCCCTCCTGTGCCCTCCTGTGCCTGGGAATTCCTCCAGGCAGAGTGGCTGCGGATGCTGTGTTTTGTAGAAAGCAGCTCACGGGATCTACTGACGGGGAAAGCTTCCCTGCTTTCATTTTAACGCCCTCCCCTGCAGCCGCCCGGTCCCCAGCTGAGTCAGAGGGGCCACCCCGAGCATCCCTCACTCAGAGAGCAGCTGCCCTCAGTTTGGCAGCTGGCGCCCAAAAAGCAGGAAATGTCGGGTTTTCGCTATGAGATGTCGCAGCTGAGGTGGGACGCTAACACCAGCGTGGGTAAAAGGGGCAGCCAGATGTGCCTGGGGATGTCAGCCGGGGCAGGGGAGAGGTGCTGCTGCTTGCAGGGCAAGGGTAAGGGAGGAGGAAGATGGTTGCTCATAGGAGAAGGCAGCACCAGGCTCAAGATGGCTCTGTGAAACCTCCGACTCCAGCTGCTGGGTCCAAGAGGCTCTGGGCACACAGGGAGAGCTGGGCTGGGCTGCTTTCCTCCCGTGCCTGAGAGAGGCCAAGAATCCTTGTGCAGGGTGAGGGGAACGGACTGGACTGAGTGTGGATCTGGTTATGACTGTGCAGCAGCATCCAGGAGTCTGGCTGAAAAACAGATTCATTCCACTGAGCTTGGGTCATCTCTGCCTTCTGCCCTGGCCTGCACTGCTGGGAGTGTGGGCATTGTCCTCCACAATGGGCCATGGGGGTGTCCAGTGCTGTGGTCCCTCATGATGGGCTCTGAGGGGCTCTGGTCCTGTGTGTCCCCCATGATGGTTTGGGGGTCTCTGGTCGTGTGGGTCCCCCACGATGGTTTGGGGATCTCTGGTCATGTGTCCCCCACAAGGGGTCCCTGACCTCTGTGTCCCCTACCATGGGCTCTGGGGCTCTCTGGTCCCTGCCATGCTGCTGGGAGTGAGTTGGGACTGGGGCATGGCTGCCCTTGGACAGCTGCTTTGCTGGAGTGAGATGGCACACACAGCACAGCATGGCACAGCATGCTGGCAGAGCTAACCCTGCTGTTTCCCTTTGCCCCCAGAGTGATTTACCCTCTGTCAGACTCCCCCACTGTGAAGATGTCCCAGTCATCCCCAGCTGATGAAGGCACCACGTTCGAGCACCTCTGGAGCACACTGTAAGTGGAGTGGTAAATTCTCCCCACACCCCACGAGGGGTGTTTGGAGGCAGCAGTGGCTCTTAGCCAAAGACAAATCTTCTGCATCCTCTGCTTTCCACAGACACCTTTGCCACCTGGCAAATTTTGCTCCTTGGTTTCAGACTCTCTGCTCAGGGCATTCCATTTGCCAAACAACATGGCACTGTCTGTCTCATGGGTGGCTCCTTCCTCCAGGGCAGCATGGGGACAGTGTCAGGGCCAGAGCAGAGCTCCCCTAAAACTGGGGACCCTTAATTCCAAAATTAAACATCTTCCATCCCCACCAAGATGTTTGCAAGTCTTCTGGCCTTTGGGCCTCATGCTCTAATCCAGCAAGGGAGAAGGACTGTGCTCCATTTAATCTTCTACCCTCCTTGGTCCTCTCACATAAGAGCATCCCCAGGTGACAGATATGCTGGAGTAGCTGGGTGGATGCAAACTTTCCTACGTCTTTGCTTGCTTTACCTGCCAGGTAAAGCCTGCTCTGCCATGTGGAAATAAAAGCAGAGGATAGAGGAAGAGACTGGGAAAGGGGCAAGGTTTGAGGGGACTGCGAGTTGCTGGGGTGGGGGGGCACAGGATGCGTTGGAGAGCTGGGAAGATGACTGTGCCCTCACCTTCTCCTCAGGGAGCCAGACAGCACCTACTTCGACCTCCCTCCAGCCAACCCCACCGGCAGCAATGAGGTCTCCAACCGCACAGAGGTCACAATGGATGTGTTCCAGATGCGAGGCATGACCGACTCGGTGATGGTGAGTGTGCTCAGAAAGCAGGAATGGGAATCTGAACCCAGCACAGAGTTGATTTCCCTGCAGGAAACCCAGGGCTGGGGGCTCTGGGGGAGGCACTGGGGTGGTGCAGGGTCTGGTCACCTGTAATCAGTGGCACAAGGGTCAGTAAAACCGTAGCTATTTATTGTTAGATAACATCAGTGCAGGCAGCAGCGGGGGCTCAGAGCTCTGGGGGAGTACCAGGACAGCAGCAGAGTGTCATTCTCTCTGTGACAAACAGTGTGGAGTAAAAGCCATTTGTGAGCTGCTGCAGAGGCAGAGCTGCTGGAGGGGCATGCCGTGCTTGCAGCTCTGCTCCCACCACAGCCCCAGATCTGTGCCACTGTCCTTCCTGTGAGAAGCCTTTGCTTCTGTCTGAGGCAAAATCTTGGAAAAGCATCGTGGGCATGCAAGACATCCCAGCTGCTTGTGCATGTTCAGTGGTGCCCAGGAGCGTCCCTGAGGCTGCCCTGGCTGTTGGCTGTATCTTCCTGAGGAGAGCTGCTGTTTCCCTCCAGAAAGCCCCTGTTTCCCTCCAGAAAGTCACTGTTTCCCTCCAGAAAGCCCCTGTTTCCCTCCAGAAAGTCACTGTTTCCCTCCAGAAAGTCACTGTTTCCCTCCAGAAAGTCACTGTTTCCCTCCAGAAAGGCGCCGTTTCCCTCACTGACAGCTTGCCTCCCCTCCCCCAGCCCCTTTTCCCTCTCTTTCCGCTCACTTTCCCTCCCTTCCCTGGCCTTTCACAGCGGGCAGGAGCTGGGCAGAGTGCTGCTAATTGGGGCTGTGCCCCTTGCTGAGCGAGCCCTCACCTTTCCCCTCTCTCCTGCGGTAACCAAAGCCGAGCCTGGAGGGGCTGGAGCAGCCTGAGGTGCACGACAAGAAGTGCTCTGCTAACAGGATGTCAGCAACCTGAGGGAAAGGCTGGAGAGGGGAGAGGCTGTGGAGGGACCACTCAGTCCATGCTGATTCCCATGTTCTTGGCACATACTGATGCCAGAGTGGTGCTGATGCTCTGTGGCAGTGAGCAGGTCACCCTGCTCTGTCAGGCATCTACCCCTAACTATTCCTGTCTATCCCTCTTGCTATCCATCCATCCATCCTGCCATCCATCCATTCCTCCACACATCCATCCATCCATCCATCCATCATCCATCCATCCTTCATCCATCATCCATCCATCCATCCATCATCCATCCATCCATCCATCCATCATCCATCCATCCATCATCCATCCATCCATCCATCATCCATCCACACACCCATCCATCCATCCATCCATCCATCCCTCCACACATCCATCCTCACCCATGCATGTCTGTCCATCCAGACAGAGGTAATTCCTCATCTCCCAGACACGGAGCTCTCACAGAGTCCCTGCACTGCCTGGTCAGTGTGAGGGTGGGCACCTCAGTGTGCTGGTGACAGGTGCCAGCCCAGCAGGTCTCCAGCCCTGTGTGACTGGAAGAAGCTTTTGGGAGTGGGATCCGGGCAGGTTTGGTGGTGGAGCTGGACCCCTGCTCTCCCTGCAGTGGGAATGGTTGGTATCGCCCAGTCCATCACTGGGCAAGCTGGGACCTGCCCTGTGCTTTAATGAATAGTCATGAGGGACAGAAGGGGTGGGCCCCGTTTTGTTGTTGGATGCAGCGAGTTGACAGAACTAAGGGAGATGAAAAAAGCAAAAAAGCCAACAGACGGCAGCACACGGGTGGCCAGCGCAGCATCCCTGGCGCTGCCTGCCCGGCCCCGCTCCCGCGCTTCTTCCTCCCACCCGCCACCGCACCCCGGCCGCCGCCCCGACCCCATGACTCCCGTGGCAGGAGGCTTCCCTGCTCTCCGTCAACCCCGAGACAACTAAAATGCTCTACATCAGCGACCCGATGCAGCATTACACCACGGTAGGTGCTGCTTGCTATGGATGGGGTTTGCTTTGATGCTCTTCTTAGAATTATCCTCCTCTTCTGGGGCACCTGCTCTGGCTCTGCCTGCCCAGCCTGAGTGCTGCTGCTCGGGATGCTCCAGGGGTTGTCCCAGTGCACGCCTGTGCCCATCCTGCGGCTGCAGGGGGGAACTGGGGCTGGTCCAGCCCTGCTCACGAGCTATGTTGGTGCAGGATGCTGCAGCCTCGGCAGTCGGTCACTGTTCCTCTTGCTTTGCCCCAGCTGCTGCTTGCAGAGCCCACGGTGTGATTTGAGCCTCAGGTGCCAGGGGTGCAGGGTTCCTTACCTGTGTGTGCACAGGTGGGAAGAGCATTTGCCAGAGCATCCATCCAAGGAACACCTGGAGGTGCTGGACACTACCAGCACCACTTTGTCATCCATTGGGGACCTCATCATCCGAGCCCATACCACACACCTGCCTCCCCAGGCAGGCTTCCTTTCCCTGGTGGAAATCCCTGGGATGGCAGGGCAGGTGAAACAATGCCTGTGCTGCAGGTAATACATTTCCAGCCCTGTCATCAAGTGTCAAGGTTGTTTCCTTAGGGAAAAGGGATTTGTGTCTGTCCCTGGCATTCGGAACAGTCCAGCACAGGCACAGAGGAAGTCAGAGAGAGAAGCAAATGGCTTAATTCCTGGTTTTACCTTAAGTGTACTGGTACCAAGCCTGTGTGTCCATTGCTGGGGCTGTTCCATGGGAGGTCGTTGCTGCAGTTGTGTGAATAATTGTCCCTGTGTGTGTATGTACATATTTACACACACACACACACAAAAACACTCCTGTCTTTGATTCATCTTTTAGGGAAATGTTTCCACAATTTCATCAATTTTGAACAGCAAGTCTTTAGTTTTGCCCACGCGCCTGACTCCAGGTCTCTCTGCCAGTAGATTCCCAAAGTCTGGGCACTCAGGATGCTGCCTCTTGCTTTGTACTAAGGCAGCCCAGCTTGGGGCAGCCAGCCTGGCTGGTAGAGGTGATACCCTGGGTCTTGTATCTCCGCATTCTTCCTGAGGGAAAGTTTTCTCCCATGCAGAGCTTGGGATGCTCCGTTCTGTGGCGGGTCCCCATTCTCTTTCCCATTTACAGCCATAGGCTTCAGCCACAAACAATCCTGTCTCTCAGCACAGGAGCAAAACAGCTCAGTCCTGATATTCCTGGATCAGCTGGGCTGCAAACAGCCCCATCCAGCAGCAATCCCTTTTCCCTTGCTGCTGTTCTCCGGGTTGATCCCTCAGTTTTGTCTATGCCACCTCACTGGCTCTGCCCTGCCCATGGACCCCGCAGCAGCTGCATTTCCCAGTTGGATGGCAAGAGCTTTCCTAACACGCCTGTTTTGCCAGAGTTTCTCGTAAGTTTTTCTCCAGGTGAAGCCTGGATTAAGGAAAGCTTGGCTTGTCTTTCGCTGGGCTATTTATAGAGTGGCGAGGAGGAACAGAGGGATTTAGGCACATATTTTAGGGGAGAAAATGGCTGGATGCGTAAAAGCAAGCCAGATCTTGTTCAGCATTCCTCCAGTTAGTCACAGGCTCCAACGACCTTGAGAGAGATGTAGGCAACAGGAGAACTTCCCTGGAGAAGGATGATTGCCTTTAAACCATTCCACATCGAAGAGGGTTGGGTGAGGTTGGGATCCCAAGTTAAAACACGTCTCCTGATTCCTGAGCCGTGAGCCTTGCAGCCCTTTGGAGAAGGCTGAGCCTGCTGGCTGTGCCCATGGCTGCTTGCATAGCTCTTGGCTTCCCAGAGCTGCCCCAGTGGGTGCTGGGGACAGGGACAGTCCCTGCCAGGCATGAGGGCAGTTGAGGGGGGCTGTGTCCCTGCTCCAGTGCAGGGAGCCAGGATGACACACTGCAATGCACTGGACACTGCACGTGGTCACCAGCACTGCCACTGCCACTGGGGCTGCAGGGTGAGAGCAACCCCCGGGCAGCTCAGGAACTGCAGATTTCTGGGGGAAAAAAATCTCACTACGACTGAGAAATGGATGTATTTGAGTCTGATTTTCTAATGAAATACTGAGGTCGTTTTAGCCATACAGCTCCTGGGAATGTCGCTGTGCTTGGGTTGTGCCTGTGGGTAAAGGGGCTGCCAGCTCTTATTGGAAGAATCTGACAGTAATTGCTCAGAAAAGGAATAAAGAAAAAATAATGAAAGAAGACATTATTTGGTCCAATGGGTCTGGAATAAGAGCCAGGACCTGCCTAAGTGGGTCCATTTGCCCCGTGACTTTCCTGCAGTGCTCTGCATCGCGGCCGCATGCTTTATAGGTTTGAGGTTTTCCCAAACCTATAAAGAGCTGCACCAGGCACTGGGAGCAAACATCCCGCTGGGAAACCAGCTACAAACCACTGCTTGGGGCTGGCTGGCTCAGGGAAGCACGCCCGGGAGTGGTGTGTGGGTGTGTGTCCGTGAACACATGAGGGACAGGTTGGAAAAGAAGCTGGAAAACAGGACGGCCGCTCGGTATCGCCATCGCGATAGAGCGATGTCATCAGCAGGGACTGCTGCTCACCTTGGCAGGGTGGCTTCACCGAGCTGTGACACTGGCTGCTGGAAGGGACAGCGGGGAGCAGAGCCCTGCATGCAGGACAGGGCTGTCTCTCTCTGCCTGCAGCGGGAGATCTCCCAACCCTGAGCAAACCCCGCAACATCGCTGCCTTCTCCCCACTGTCAGAAGCGTGGCTTTCCCAAGGCAGGTGCGCTAGAAATCCAGGACTGTGACACCGCGCTGCCTCCAGCGAGGATGGAGCAGCTCGAGGAGGGTGATTTAAGCGTATGGAGTGCATCCCTCACACAAGTGATGACCTGTCGGAAATCCCGAGCCACCCAGACCAGCTCTTTTGGCTCCCCTCCCGCACGCTGGCCCTTTAAGGAGGCTGTAACAGGACACCCCAGCCCTGCAGAAAGGTGGCTGAGGTTTCCCTGTCTCTAAACTGGCTGGTGTTTTCTTTTTTCCCTCCTCCCCTTTTCCCTTCCTCCAGTCCCAGTTCAATTTGCTGAACAACAGCATGGATCAGAGCATCGGCAGCAGAGCAGCCTCCACCAGCCCCTACAGCTCCGAGCACACCTCCAATGTCCCAACGCATTCTCCCTACTCGCAGCCCAGCTCTACCTTCGACGCCATGTCCCCGGCTCCCGTCATCCCCTCCAACACCGACTACCCTGGTCCCCACCACTTCGAGGTGACCTTCCAGCAATCCAGCACCGCCAAGTCAGCCACCTGGACAGTAAGTTGCATTCTTCTACCTCGGCTAGGGAGATGCTCAGCACCGCCGAGCGTGTCCTCACGGCCAACACCCAACGCGGCGGCGGTGGGGAGGCTCGCACGGGGCAGCTGCGGGATGCAGCCACCACTGATGGGGACTTCACCGGCACAGGTGGTGGCCCTGAGAAGCAAAGAGTGCTGGAAACATCAGTGCTTGCTTTCCAGGGGGTTTCTCCCAAAGGGGTGTGAAGCACAACGGCTGGGATGTCACTTCTCTCGCCTCAATTCCCTAAATTTTTGGTAAATGTCCTCCGAAAATAAATGCCCTGGGGAAGTACCTGCCTTGTTTTCACGGTGCTTCCCGGCGTATTTGCCAGCGGGTGCTGTCAGAGACGAGGCCGTGGGCAAGAGGGACCTTTGCTCGTGTCTCCCGGCGCCGTTCCCAGCTGTGCTGTAAATGCCTGCTTGTCACTTACAGTCCTTCTCCATCCCGTATTAGAGAAGTAACTTAATCCCTACAAGTCACAGCAAATAACAGAGCAGGTTTTTAAGCGCAGTAGGTTTTGATGCACGGAGGGACGGCCGCACAGCTCCTGCTGTCTGCTCGGGAGCCGGGATGCAGGTTTGGTCCACGGCTGCTCCGACCCTCCTGCTGCCCGGCACAGGAGAGCTCTGCGAGCAGGGACCCGGGGGCCGGGCACAGCGCACGGGGGCTGCTTTGCTTTTTGTGGCAAAAGGTCCTAAATTCTCATCCCTGCTGCTGGCTCAGCCCAGCGTTTTTAAGGAGAACCAGCAATTGCTGCCAGTGCCACAAGTGGCAATCCCGCAGTGGGTACCTCTGGAGTACCCGGGAGAACAGTTCACCACGCTTGAGCCGGGTGGGTTTTCTCCTCCAGGAAGCACTGGCAGAGCAGGAAGGTTGGGATGGGATGACTGACACCCCGCAGGAGCAACAGAGTTTCCTCCGGGGCTGCGTTTTGACATTGTCATGGAACGGGCAGAGCAGCCCAGCGATATTTAAGTCCCGGGTGTGATAATGACCTTTGTTTGCGGAAGGTGACGTGCTTAATTGACAAGACAGTCCTTCCTGCGGAGACAGAAAACATCCTCGGATGCTGTCGTGCAGGGACACCCCGGCGGGATGCTCCCGGTTGTCCTGGGGAGGATGCGGGCGGGGACGGGCTCGGGCAGCGGCCGCAGCGCTGGGGCTGCGTCCTGCCAGGGGTGAATGGAGAGGGAAAGCAGCAGCCAGCCGGCAGCGATCCGGGCTTTGAACTCAGCCGAATTCCCGGCTGGTGCAGTCCGGCAGCTTCCCCGCGGCCGGTGGCTGCTGCTTCACACGGACAGGGGACTTGGGACAGTGCCGTGGTTAAACACGACTTGCTCTCGCAGGGGTGGTTAATCTCCACTCTTTCCTCTGGCTTTCCTTGTGGGCTGTTGCTCAGGGATGTATTTCATTAGGAACTGAATAAACCGGAGGTCCCCGGGCAGGATGTGATTCCAGCCCACTCCTATCCCTGCTGGGGGATAGATAACTCCTATCAGTCACAGGTAAAGCTGCACATTCCTGTGCCGCTAAAGCGTCCCAATGGAAACCGAAACAAGGCACTGCAGGGTGGCTTGTCCCAGCACATAGGGATGGCGGCCAGAACGTGTCTGATGCTCGCTTGCCACTGTCCCCAGCTAGGAGTGCAGTGGGATGGAGCGGACACAGCGCAGCAGGGCTCCCCTCCTGAAAGCCATCCCATTCCCCTGGGATCTTTCCACGGTTCTAACCATAGGGAGCTCGACTGTCTCGCATCACCTTGTGCTGACTGTTCTCCTGTAGCTGTGTCCCACTGGCAGCTCAGCTCACCAGGACAGGATATGGCTGTTTTTCCCAAGCCTTTGTGGGAGATCAGGGCAGGCAGTGCCACACGATGCCCTCCCAGCCTTGGGGGAGCAGCTGGACCCAGGAGCCGCCCGGAGAACGTGTTCATTCCAGGGATGGCTGGGAGCTTCTGTGGAGGGAGCCACGGCTGCAAGGATGGGTCCTGGGAAAGGTCCAGAGTGAGGACTTGAATGCCTGAAGTGGCTTTAACACTCGGGAAGGCAGTCAGAGGTGTGTGACCCTCTGAGGCACGATGCTGGGGTGGCTGCATCCCCCAGAGCTGGGGGGGCTGCAGGGCCAGTGCCCACCTGCACTGGAGCTGAGCCTCGTGGAGAGCAGCAGTGGGTTGGCAGAATCTGGCACCCTGGAGAGCACAGGGGATGTTTCATTTGAAACAGAGATTCCTGTGGGATTGTCAAGGCAGGTGCAGCATGTCCGGCTTGCCGAGGTGCCACATGAGGAATGGTCCTGCTGCAGTGACAGCTGGTGTCACCCATTGTCCTCCTGGCTGGGGCTGTCACAGGCATGGTCAGTGCTGGAAGATAAGGTCACTGCCTTCCACTCACTGTGAGCTCTGCAGTGCCACACCTGAGATTTTTGTCCTGGTTTAACAGGGCTCAGCAAAACAAATGTGTTCAGTGTTGTGAATGATCACACAAATAACACTGCATGGGACACTGTGAGCCTCCACAGGAGCTGGGAACACACATGTAATGTAAGGAAAAGCCACTGGGAAACGCAGGCACTTGGGAAGTGCCTGTTCAGTAGGTCTGGGGACAGAAAGGGACGTCTGACAGTGCAGTGATCGTCACACCAAGCACAGCAGGACCAACCATACTGGTGCTGTGCAGGACCTGCGTGGTTTGGGGCAGCACTCAGGAAGAACCAACCCAGCCTGCTCCCCCTGGGGAAGCCTCGTGGCTTTAGGATATATTGAGCTTTGCCGCACCCAATAATTTATGCCAGGATGGCTGATCAATTCCCACAAGCACTGACCACAAGCTCAGCAGAGCCAACGCGCTGGGCAGCATTTTGGAGCAACGAGGGGTCCGCTGCACTGGAAGAAATCTCAGCTGAAGGTCTCTTGCAGTTTGGGGTTGAACCATGGAGGATCTGGCCATAGAGGAAAGGACAGCTGGTGAGCAGGCAATGCCAAAACAAATGGTTTGTGTGAGTCATCTTGTCAAAAGATTTGGCATCATATTTTGATATAATCACAAGCTGTGGTTGATGGAAGCGTGTAGCTCAATGGCCTCCTGGTTTTGAAGGGTTTTGACTAGAATCCCTCTGGGAGATGTGGCATTTCCTATTTTCCCTCACTTAGAAAAGGAGGCTCCTAAGCACAGATAAGCTGGCCCCTCTATAATCCTGGACAAGCGCTTGCCCTGCAGGGCTGGGCAAATCAGTGTCACCCAGGCAGGGGAGCCAAGTGTCTCCAAGCCCTGCCCACACACAGTGCTCCTGTCCACATTTCAAACCCTCTATTGACAAAACAGACATGGCCTGGGAGGGAGATGTGAAGAAGACAAACAGTTTGGAACAGATTCCTTGTAGAGCAATAGAAGAGAAACATTCTGCATGGAAGTTCTCCCCAAGAAGAGCAAGGGGGCTCAATCATGGTATGCCCAGGAGATAGTTCCTGATAGCAGCCAGCTCTTTAATCTAATAGCAAAAGACATAATGAGATCCAGCACTTGGAAGCTGAAGCCAGGCAAATTCAGACTAGAAACAAGGAGGAATATTTATTTTATTTTTTTTTTAGCAGTGAGGATAATTAACCATAGGAACAATTTACCAAGGAATGTGGTAGATTCTCCCAACTCCTGAAGGATTCAAATGAGGAGTCTGCATATCTCTCCAGAGATAAGATGTGCTTTAGCAGATACCCTTGACTCAATGCAGGAGGAGGAGGAAGGGGTCTGAGGGTAGCAGTGTGGACAATGGGACCAGAACATCATCAGCTGCTCTCCCTTGCTTCAAAATGCTGATTTTCTAATTTAGGAAATCTGTGAATGGAAAAGGGTGAAGCCTTGGGACTGACATTACCCAGCTCTGTCCTCACAGGGACTCTGGGCAGAGCTGGGTGACATTGTGGGTGACCCTGTCCCGACCCCCGGGCTGAGCTCTGAGTGTCACCACCAGCTCCGGACAGAAGCGGCCGCGCCTTCCCGTGCTGTGGGAAGCCCTCCAGGCTGCTGCCACCTCCCTTTTCATTTTTAATGGCCTTCTTATCGCAGAGAGCAACGGCCAGATGCCGAAAATAAGGTTTTCCCTGCGGGCTGGAAGCCCCCCTGTGGCAGGCAGGCCGCTGGGCGGGCCGGGAGCTGCAAGCCGGGGCTCGCCGGCATCCCGGAGCCACCGCGGCCCCGCTGCCCGCAGCTGCCCGGACACGCTGCAGCCGCAGCCCATCGCGGCGCTTTTCTCGCCGCAGCCCCTCGCCACGCCAGCCAGCTGGTAACTGACGGATAATTAGGATTTTTCTCAAGTCGGGTTGGCGGCGGAACGGGGCTCCCTCCCGGCCGGACGCTGTCGCAGGTGCCGGAGCTGCAGAGGCGTTAATGGGGTCTTTGGCCTCCCGCGGCCGGGCTGCGGAGGGACGTGCGGGATCGAGGCCGTGGTGCGGGGGAGCTGCCTGGGCACACACGGAGCCCCTGGAGCCGGGGGGAGATGGACAAACACCCGAGCAGGCAGGCAGGGGCCGTCTCTGACACAGGCGTGGAGGGTCTGAACCACACCCAGGGTGTTGATGCTGTTTGAGGCAGCAAACAGCCTGCGAGGGAAAGGCTGGACAGGTCCGCAGCCCAGGGGAGCTGCTCCTGCTCCCATGGATGACAAACAGCAAACCAGCCTGCATCCCAGTGCTCAGCCAGCGGAGATGGCAGCGTGGGACTGGTTCCTCTTGCTTGATAGATCTTGCAGCTGGAGCATGGGCACTGGGGAGCTGAAATGCTTTCTCTGGTCCTGACTGAATGAGGAGGATGGGAGTGATTGGTGTGCTGGGAGGCAGGTTCTTCCTTGTGTGTCCCAGTTGCTGTCCGTGGCTTTTTGGGGTAGAGGCAGATACGAAGAGGAGCGAAAATTCTTCAGGAGCATCTCTGTACCAAGAACCCCCTCTGCAAACTCTCTGGCGGTGAAAAGATGGCACCTTTCCA